CGGCCTAGCCATCTGTGATGGCATCGTCTGCGCAACCGCTGCAGGAAGACTCGGTAGCATTCTTCACAAACATAGGGACCATGGCTGCTGCAATTTTTGAAGAATCTGACGTCCACTCCTCTCGGGTCTCTGCATATTCTGACCGCGTGGTTGCAGTACGCGATGCATTCAAACTACTTTACGGCAAAGAGCCGATGCTTATCTCTCGAGCACCAGGTATGTGGGATAGTGAGGTTGAACAGTACGAAGAGCTGTTCCGTTTTTGTAGAGAGGTCAAACCCTTGAGTCATCGTCGCCTTCACGGTAAATGACAAAACATGCCGCATGTCTGAGCCCGGCTGGACGCAGGGCGTGTGAATCTCATCGGCGAGCACATTGACTACGAGGGGTACGCGGTGCTGCCCATGGCCATTCACCTGGATACCCTTGTCGCCATCAGCTGTGCACGGACGCCAAGCATGGAGACATCTGCGTGTAAGGATGACTCGCCTTTCCCGCCTCGCCTGCGCGTGGCGAACATGGACCCCGCCAAGTACCCTGCCACGGAGTTCAGCATCCACGCCAAGCAGGTAGCTCGAAGCTCACGGCCCATCAAGCTCAGGCCGCATATAACTCAGCCCACAGACGCTCGATTTTATCTGATTGTCAGGACGACCTGTCTAAGTCGACCAGCTGTCCCGTGAAGCCTGTTGATCCAGCCTGTTTTGTTAGTCAAGCATAATGTTGAGTTCATTGCCTTGCAGGAAGTTGACACAAGCAACCACAGCTGGGGCAGCTACTTTCTTTGTGGGTATGGTTCCTCCTCCGTCACAAAATCGCTGCTTTCACATTTCTAAGGTGTTTACCCCCCTGGCAAAGCGCAGCTGTTGTGGCTGATTACAATGTCTGGCGCATGGAGTGTTGTTGTTCTCTTTAAAAGGTTATCTCACATGCTTGGTTTTTTTACTGCACGTTAATTACGTTGTGCAACTTGTTGTGCTTCATGCTTGTGTTTTGCAACCAGATACAAGGGCGTCTGGGATCACGTGCACGAGACAGGGGGTAGAGAGGAACCAACTCTTGGACTTGATGTGCTTGTGGATGGCTGCGTGCCTCTTGGTGAGAAGAACATTGCCCACTGGTTCCCCGTGCGCGCTTGCCGTTCTCCATGCCCGTACAAGTCCGTGTCCTCCCACCTCAGCCACCTCATTTGGACCTCTGCTCGCTTCTCCGTCTTAGAGCTCTGGTGCTTACCTACCATGCTGCCCGGCTTTCTCTTCTCATGCGCCACTGTGTCCAGGGTCTGGCCTGTCCAGCTCAGCTGCCCTCGTGTGCTCCTCTGCCATCGCTGTCATGGCCGCCCTTGGATTTTCGTTCCCCAAGGTGCTGCTGCCGCCCTCATTCTGTGTTGTGGCTCCTCAACTGTGTCTCCTCGTCCGTTTCTTGTTTATTATTATTCTTCTCTGAAAGTCTTGTGGCTCTGTCTCTCCCTAAGTATGTTCTTCTTACTGCCTCCCTCTCAGGCGGAGATAGCTGACCTGGCATGCCGCTGCGAGCGATACATCGGCACTCAGTCTGGCGGCATGGACCAGGTAACGTTCGTTCCATGCTCTAACTGTCCCCCCCCAAGCGGTGCTTGATCTTGAAAGAGAAGGGGCAGAGCACAGATAGCGAGCACGGGGAGGTCAAGTGCGAGGGCGACTTAGTAAGAAGGCCAAGGGTGAGTGCAGCATGTGCAACAGAGTGAGTCGCAGCCGATGGGGTAAGGATAACTGAAGCGAAGGGGAGGGGGAAGTGGGCATGAGAAAGAGGTGGATTGTTAAAGAGCAGCTGCACCGGGCATGGCACCCTGGCTTTGAAGTGGCAGTGGTGATGAGGGGTGTGCAGCACGACCGGCAGTGGTGAGGGGTGTGCAGCACGGCCGGCAGTGGTGAGGGGTGTGCAGCACGACGGGCAGTGGTGAGGGGTGTGCAGCACGACGGGCAGTGGTGAGGGGTGTGCAGCACGACCGGCAGTGGTGAGGGGTGTGCAGCACGACGGGCAGTGGTGAGGGGTGTGCAGCACGACGGGCAGTGGTGAGGGGTGTGCAGCACGACGGGCAGTGGTGAGGGGTTTGCAGCACGACCGGCAGTGGTGAGGGGTGTGCAGCACGGCCGGCAGTGGTGAGGGGTGTGCAGCACGACGGGCAGTGTCAGGTGGTGAGCAGCTCAAGCAGCTGCGTGGGGAAGCATGGCTCCCAGCGAGGTGTCCTGTGGTCATGCACTTCTGTGAATACGTGCATGCGATGCGTCAGCAATGCCGTTTTGAGTTAGTCAGCCCTTAGGTCTCAGATCTGCAAAGAGCCCATCCTGCCCCCATTCACCCCCACTGCCAGTGTTTTTTTTTCTTCCTCGGAGCAAGAAGCATGACCTGTGTTGCACATCTCCCTTCACTGCGTCCATGCGTGCCCGGTTTCTCCCAGGCCATTTCCATCTTTGGAGAGCGCGGCGTGGCACAGCTGATAGAGTTCAACCCCGTGAGGGCGCACGCGGTGCCTCTGCCGTCCACCGCCGTCTTCGTGATCGCCAACTCCCTGGCTGTCTCCAAGAAGGCCGAGACTGCCGCCACCAACTACAATCGCCGGGTTGTGGAGTGCCGCCTCGCCGCCGTGAGTTGGGGGATGAGCAAACGGGGGGCAGCTGTGTCATGCTGCAGGTTTGGAATATTGGTGTTGGTGCGCGTTTCTGCTCTTGCGCCCGATTCCATTGGTCCATCCGTTTCCCACTCCTCCATGTGTTCCCCATGGCACCAGATGGTACTGGCAGTGCGGCTGGGCATGGAGCCTGCCACAGCCCGCGCCTCCATCAGCACGCTGGCAGACGTGGACGCCCTCTGTGCTGCCAGCAGCACGTCACCACAGCCAGCAGACGAGCACGCTGCACTGGATGCTGTGCGGGTGAGTCCTGCCTGCACACCGCATGCCATGCCGCGTCCTCCATTTCCAGCAGGACAGCCAATTCCCAAACAGTGGGCTACAAGGCCCACACTGTCAGTGTCAATCTGCACACCTGTGATTCTAAGGTGCCTTGGTGTGCTTCTAAACTTCCCTGCAGCGCTGCCTGCATGCTGAACCGTACAGCGCGTCAGAGATCGAGGCTCTTCTTCAAGCGTCACTTGCCTCTGTCTTTGCCGACTCACCAACCTCCCTCGCTGTCATCGCTGCCGCCACCGAGTTCAAGTTACAGCAGGTATGCTTGCTCTTGTGGCAATGCATGCTCGTGTTCACTTTGAAGTCATGCCCCAACAGCTATGCTCATTGTCTTGCCACCCCATAGCTGCTCACTTATTGAACTGTGGCGGTCGAGGTCAGCAGCCAGCAAGGGTGCCTTAACGTGATCATCATCTCTTGATTTTCTCCAGATGTGGATGCATGCACGCTGGCTCAGTCTTGCATGTCGACACCGTTTTCAGCATGAGCATTGAGTGGGTCCACCGACATGTGCATCCTTGTCTCATTCCCTTGTCACACGCACCATGCACCCCCTGCACCCGCTTGCATGGGTGCGATTGTGTGTGCTTATCCATGCATGCACCCACCTGGCATCCACCGCATGACGTCAGAGGGCTCTTCATGTGTATGCAGAAGCTCATCGCGTCTTTGCATTCAGAGATGCTGCTCTCTCTGCACCTTCTGACTCGTAAGCTTACTTCGTGTGTATCTCTCTCCACATCGTTGGGTCTTTTCTTAGTGTGTCATGTGCACTGTTCACACAACCCCTCGTTATTCCAGTTTGGATGTCCATGAAACGAGTGCATGTGAAATCAGGGCACATAAGTACCAACTAGATTGGGAGCCAATGCACGCTCTATTCAGGGTTATTGACTTTCTTGCTTGAAGTCTGCATTGTTGCTTATTGGTTCATTGAGGGACCATCTCTGTCCCTCGCACCCTTCTTGTTCTTTCACTGCCACTACAGTGGCCTTCGCTTCATGCCTTGCTCTCCTCTCGTCCCCCCGCCTCCCCACCTCTCCTCTTCCCCCCCTCTCTCTTTGCCTCCATTCATGCTCCCTGCTGCAGCACTGCACCTGCCCTTTCAGCAGGCCCCTCTGTGCTGCTCTCTCTTGGCCGCCTTATGGACGACAGCCACGCCAGCTGTCGCGACCTCTATGAATGCAGGTGAAGCATAAGTTATGGCAGGTGAAGCATGGCAGGCACTAGTGTCTCTGGGAGCAGGAGTGAGTGACGCAGGCACAAGGGATGGACAGACGGCTAAATTGACAGCCTAGCGCTGGCCATGGGAAGGTGCAAGGCACATGGAGGGGGCTACTGCTGTCTTGTTCTGTGCCTCTTCATTCATCTCCCTTCCACTGCATCATCATCCCTTTCAGCGACTGTATCCACTCCTGCTCTCTGCATGCCCTCGTGCTGGCTTCCCTCCAACGTCAACGTTAACACTCCCTGTCCCTCCCACGCCCTTCTTGGGAGTGCCACAGTTCCCCCGAGCTCGAGCAGCTGGTGGTGTGCTGCAAGGCGCACGGTGCCCTTGGAGCCCGCCTCACAGGTGCTGGCTGGGGCGGCTGTGTGGTGGCGCTGGTGCACGCTCACGAGACAGACTCCTTCCTCGCTCACCTCAAGGTATCGTGGCGCAGGGCACCTTGCCCTGCCACTTGCACTCCTGATGGCTGCTGCTACTTGAGAGTGACAAGTGCCATTGCACGGAAAAAACAATTATCCTCTGCTACTCACCACACTCTTGTGCTTCTTCCCCTGTGCGCACTGCAGGAAGACTATTACGCACCCAAGATTGCTGCCGGCACCATCACTGCAGCCGACCTGCCCAACTGTGTTTTTGCTTCCCACCCTGCAGCAGGGGCAGCCCTGCTCAGGCTGTGACCACCTGCTCGCCCTCCCTCCTCTGCCTGCTTTAGTTGCACGAGTTGCAGGGCATGCTGCCCACAAGGGATAGTCTACTTCAGTGCCATGTCATACTGTTAATGCTTCACTATTTTACAAGCATTTCATACATGGAAAGCGTTGTCCACTATCCATGAGTGAAGCTGGGCCCACAAGCCCCGGCACCACAGCTGGCAGCACCAGGCATCCATGCCAGGGGTCGCTGCTCCCACCACCTCCGCTCTGCCTGCTCCCCCATTGCCCACCCTGACTCTTCCCCTCGCTCCTCGCTTCTGCCACCGCTGCTGGGCCTAGCCGCATCGGAGGAGGGGGCATGAGAGCCGTGGTTGAGGCACAGGGCCTGCCAGTGCGTGTCGGGATCGGGGTTGGGCAGGAGCATGGGCCTGAAGCACATGCAGCGCGACGCAGCGAGCATGTCATGCAGCGCCTCAGCGATGGCCACACACAGCAGCAGCGCCAGGGGCACCGACTCCTCGCGTGCCACCTCCACCACGCACCCCCTCCAATTCAACAGCGCTGTGGCGCGCGCTAGCCCGGGCCCCCCAGTGTATCGCACGAGCGTGGCAAAGCCGTGCTCCTCTGCTGCTGCCGCCCCGCACACGGTGTAAGACAGGTGCCGGCCCGGCAGTAGCGCCACCTGCGGGTAGATGGAGGGGGACAGGGAGAGGGGGCGGATGGGGTGGAGAGGTACGGGAAGAGTTAAGGCGAGTGATGGGTGTGTCAGGAATGCATCACGATACGGGGCAGAGGTGGAGAGACAGGGATGAAAGCAGGAGCGGAGGCAGGGATTAGGAAGAGGCAGAGGCGGAGGCAACGCACCTGATGGCCGCCCTCCTCCTGCAACTCCAGCTGCAGCGAGCCCTGCACCAGCGCCCCATCCACCACTCTGCACCGCACTCCCAGCTCCGCCATCGCTGCACCAGGCAAGCATCCCATGAGCGCATAGCGCACCACCAGCTCCCCCCCTGCACCCACCCCTACCCCCTCCTTCTCCCCGTTTCCATGTCCCGACCGCACCCCTCCCCCGCCTCGAGGCACAGCCTGCGCCAGCACTGGACCGCGGCACACCCCCACGCGCTCATGCAGGGGGGCGGTGAGGGGCAAGGGCGTGGCGTCCGTGGGTACATAGCTCCAACCCCCCTGCTCCACCGCTCCGTTGGAGGGGTGGGGGAGTGAGGGGAGACGCCATGACAAGAAAGTAGTAGGGTGGGAAAGGTGGGAGGGGAAGGGAAGTGGAACGAAGCAAGGTAAGGGCGGAGATGGCACAGGCTGAAAGAATGGTGTGGCACAAGCAGAGTGATTGGCACAAGGTGCTGATGCAGCAGCCACCAGGTGCTGCTATCAGATGCCATCAATTGATGCCACCACCAGATGCAACCACCTGAAGTCATCAGCTCATAAAATCACCTGAAGCAATCACCTGACGCAATCACCTGACGCAATCACCTGACGCAATCACCTGATGCAATCACCTGATGCAATCACCTGATGCAATCACCTGATGCAATCACCTGATGCAATCACCTGATGCAGCACAATTGTCCGCTCCGTTGGCTGAACTGGCTTTGGGCGCTTGTGGTCCTCCCACACTCCCTCTGCCACTCTGCTCCACGGCTCCAGGGAGTGGGGAAGAAGTGGTGCCGGGCAACAGACAAATTCAGAAAGAGGTGGGGGGTGGGGGGCAGGGGAAGACAAAGAGAAATGGATGAGTGGGGATGGACTAGTGTGGTGTAACAGAGGAGGCATGGAGTAGGAGACCAAGGGAAAGGAGTGGTGTGGGGCGAGCATGGAGAAAGGTAGACATCAACGTGCAGCGCGAGTGACATGCATGCACTTGCCTTCATCTGCTTTGCCTCCCACCTGGTCCGCATGACAAACGCCTCCCACCTGGTGCGCATCACAAACGCCTCCACGCCTCTGTGGTCCAGCACCGTGCGCGACACCCACCGCCCCGCCTGCTCTCCACACACATGCAAGCCAGGCGCACGCATGCACAATTGCAAGCAAAACCACACACATGCATGCCACACACATGCATACGCACAGGATTCATGCACATTAGAAGTCTTACAACCACAACGAAGGCATCAGGACAGTCTCATGGCCGTCTCCCTTCGCCCTCCCGGCCCGCTAGCCCCTCTGTTGTTTTCACCTGAGGGCGGTGCTGAGCCAGGGCAGCGCAGAGCATGGCCCCACGGTCATCAGAGGTGCACACAGGCACGGCGCGCAGCAGGAAGGGCGCAGCTGTAGCAGGGGCCAGCGACACGCCCACCTGCAGCCCTGCCTGCCCCGCCGGACATCCCACACTGCCCTCTGCCCTGCCTCCGCCCCCACCCACCCTCTCCACGCCCCCCTCTTCTGCTGCCCTCGCCGCCAAGCCACTGCTCCCTGCGGCGGCTGTGCTGGCTGCAGTGAGAGGGGCTGTGGCAGCGGCATAGGCAGCGGGGGTGCAGCCTGGGGGGGCGAGGGGCAGCAGGCAGTGGAGCAGCAGCGAGGGGTGCTGCAGCAGGCGGTGCCACGTGAGCACCGCTGACCCCAGCTCGCGGGGTGCGGGGGGGAGCAGCCAGGGCAGCAGCGAGGAGAGCAGCGAGGGCGAGTGGGCGTGCAGACTCAGCCGCAGCCCCTCCGAGGCCACCTCCGCCTGCAGTGAGAAGCGGTGGCGCCAGCGCGGTGGGGGGGCTGCCGGATGGAAGGGCAGCGCGGGCGTGCGGGTGGAGAAGGAGGGGGCAGCGTGGAGGGCGGAGAGGGAGACGGAGAGGCAGTCAGGGGCGGGCAGCAGCAGCCCTCTCACGGTCCACACGGTCACCTCCACGTCCACTGTGCTGCGCTGCCACAGCCCCAGCCCTGCATTCGCCTCACCCGCACTCACACACCCCGCCACTGCCATGCGCCGCACCTTTTCCCCCTGCTCGCCTGTGCCCTCGCTTCCCACACTCTCCTTGTCCGCATCTGCTTTCTTGCTACTCCTCAACTGCTGCTCCATGTGCTGCCGCTGCTGCTGCCTCTCCACATCTGCCCCTGCGGCGCTGTCTGAACGGCACTGGGTGCGTGCCCATGAGCCCTCCTGCTCGCCTGCCCCCTCTGCCGTTGCCTGCTGCTCGTGGCCCACAGCTGCCCTGCCCATGCGCATGGCCGGTGGCAGGGAGCTTGCATGAGCAGGGGGCACGCCCTGGCGGTGCGTGGCCCCTGCGCGCGCAAAGGGCACGGCGAAGGTGCGCTCCCACAGCAGTGCCGTCGCCCTGTGCGCCGCCTCCATGCACCGAGGCCCCGGCGAGGGCAGGCCCGCCAGGGCGCAGGGTGAGCAGGCGAGGGCGGCGGGAGGGAGGGCGGGTGTGGGCGAGAGGGAGTTGTGGTGCGCGATGAGGCGACCTGCCAGGTGGTGGCAGTCCGTGGCGTAGGCGCGTGCACACATCTGGGGCGATGGGGGGGGGAGGAGGGGGGCAGGGGAGTGGGGGAGGGGGCGGGCAGTGTAGCGGTGAGGAGGAGGTGAGAGGAGAGGTGGTGAGGCAAGAGCAGGGGTCATGAGCATGTGTGCATGCCATGACTCCATAAAAATGCAAGCTAGCAGGATATGTTCCATGTGCACATGCTACCATGTGCACATGCTACCATGTGCGCATGCTACCATGTGCGCATGCTACCATGTGCGCATGCTACCATGTGCGCATGCTACCATGTGCACATGCTACCATGTGCGCATGCTACCATGTGCGCATGCTACCATGTGCGCATGCTACCATGTGCGTATGCTACCATGTGCGCATGCTAGTTAGTATGCTACCATGTCAGCGTGCTATCATGTGTGTTTGTTACCATGTGGGCATGCCAGATCAGGTCGATGTCACAGGTGGGTGTGAGGGGCGTCGCTGGGTTGGCCTTCAAGAGGCAGAGGAACATGTGGTAGCGCTGCACTGACCCCCTCAGGTATGCCGCTTGCACCATCCACGGCCGGTCCACCTGCCACCACCACACATGACCCATGCCCCATGCACCACACACCATGCACCATGAATCATGCAACATGCGGAAATGGGTTGGGATGGAGACAAGTGAGAGGAGGGCGACTGTCAGGTGAGCCAGCATGAGTTCTCGTTCACCACGGCACCACCTCTCACAGCACACGGCACCACCTCTCACAGCACACGGCACCACCTCTCACAGCACACGGCACCACCCTTCTCTCGTATCACGAGTGAGCGCCCCTCACCTGGAGGAAGAGCCCTCTCTGTCGCAGCACAGCAGCCCTCAGGTCGTACTGCACGTGCTGCCCCTCTCCTGCACCCTCTGCCGCCTCTCTGCTTTCCACCCCTGCGCCTGCCAGCACCTCCACCGCGCCCGGTTCTCTGGAGGCCTCTGCCGCCCTGCTGCCTCTCAGAGAGCCCTCTGACGCGCCTGCAGGCTCACCACCAGACTCCGCGCCCCTCCCCTCGCCTCTCCGCCCCTCCACACATGCTAGGCTGCACCTTGCTCCTGCGCCTTCATTGCAACACCGAGGGCCCTCCCCGAGGCTCCCCCTCTCTTCCCCCGCCGGTCCCCCTTGCGCCTCCCCTCTGCCTTCATTCCCCCGCCCGCACTGCGTGCTCTCCCTCGCACCGTCATCGTCAGCATCGCCAACCCCCCCGCCGTGCTGTGACCTGCCGGCTCTGCGAGGCTCGCACAGGTCGTAGGGCTCGTGAGGGAACAGCCTGTCCCACACCCGCCGCGCCGCTGCCTCTGCTGCCTCCCTCCCGCCCCCGCTGCTGCTGCTGCTGCTGCAGGCAGCATGATTGGTAGCAGGGTGGTGAGAGGGGTCACACTCACTTGTGTCAAAGACTGCTTGCTCCACCACTCGACCCACCCTGGCCCCGCACTCCCTGCTGTACGCCTCCTGCTCCCATCGCCCATTCATGCGTTTTCAATGCACACACACACACACGTGCGCACGTGCACGCACACGCACACACATACACACACACACACACACACACACACAAACACACACATGCGAAGGAGAGCGTGTAGTGAGGTGTTCAGGGAGGCAGGGCGAGAAACACAGGCAAGGTACTGCACATGTTTGGCAGTGGGATGGGAAGGCAGCGGCAAGCAGATTCATGCGATGCAGTGAAGGATGGGAGTAAAGGGGGGGATGATAGAGAGCACATGGCAACACATCAGGCCGATCGGGAACTTCGCATCACCTGCAGCAGCATTCAGTCAGTCCAGGAGTAGCGCGGCTGCATGGCAGCACGGGCAGCACGGGCAGCACGGGCAGCACGGGCAGCACGGGCAGCACAGGCGGAACGGGCAGCATGGGCAGCCAAGCAACTCAAGGACATACGGGGTTGAGGCGGTGGCAGAGCCAAACCCATTCCACGTCAATGGGCGGCAGCAGGCGGCACATTTCGTCGTCACTCAGCCGCCCAGCCAGCTGCAGCCAGCACCGCTCGTACCTGCTCCCGTGGGGGGAGGGGCGCACGTGGGGGGGACGTGGCACGCAGAGGATGAGAGCAGGGAGCGACGCAGCGGGGCAAGGCGACGCGACGCAGAGGGGCACGGCGACGCACATTCAGCGGAGGGCACACGAGTTTGCTGAAAGGGGATGAGGGGCGGGCAGCAGGAGGGGCGGGCATGGCGTGCCTGCGGATGGCGGTATCGAGGGCGGGCCCCTCGTCGCACAGCCCGCCGTGCGCCTGCACCCGCCGCAGCAGCGCCATCAGGTGCCGCGCCGCCGCCGCCACGTCCGCCGTCACGCGCACCGCCTCCACGGCGCGCCACGCCCGCGCCACCTCCGCCTCGTCCTCCTCCTCCTCCGCCAGTAGCGGCCACTCCGCCGCCATCGCCGCGAGGGAAACCGGTGACAGCGTGAGGGGTAAAATGTTGTGGCGGTGTGCGCGAGGGAGTGGAAGGTGTGCGGAGGTTCAAGGCGCGGCGGAGGGTCAAGGCGCGGAGGGTCAAGGCGCGGAGGGTCAAGGCGCCGGTGGGACGACCATCGTCGAAGATTAGCGCTCCTAGCGACCTCCGTCAAACCTCCGTGCGCTGCGCTGAACAATGCGCGCGCGACGAGCAATCTGCGCGCGGTGTATTCTCAGCAGTGTCGGTGAATGCGGCACCGAGGCGCTTCGAGTGAGTGTCAGAGCGAAGAAATTGGGGTGTAAGGAACGGCAATGGCACAAGTCGTGCTGGAGAAGCGGTGTAGTGTGGTGCTTCGGAGTGAGAGGAGCTTAAAACAGCACACTTTGCTACACTACCGTTCTGTGTGACAAAGTGAAGAGCAGCATGTTCTTTCGGGTAGCTTTGCAGGACATATACTGAACCCAGTGGGCAACCATTACAAATGATATGCAATTATACATTCAATAAGATATGCTCTTCACGAGCAAGATAAGGCACACCAAAAAATGGCAAGGGACAAGTGGGTTGGCGAAGAGGGAGTGGAAGCGTTGGGATGGGATCAGAGGCGGGAGGTGATGGCCTTGCGCAGGCGGTCCTCCTCCGTCTCCACGTGGCAGCGCTTGATGTCCGCCACGCGCGTGCAGCCGGCGAGGGCGAGGGCGAGCTCAAACTCGTCCTTGAGGATGCCCAGCAGCTTCTCCACCCCCGCCTGCCCGTCCACCGCCAGCGCGAATGGCACCGGCCGCCCCACCTGGTGGGCATGAGCCATGGGGGGGGGATGGGCATGGGCGGATGGGAGGCAGGCATGAGAGGCGAGGCAGGAGAGGAACGGTATGGGAGGCCAGGCTGTACCAGACAGTGAGAATGGCACGAGACTAGAACAGCCCCTCAAACACTGAACGAACCAAGGTAGGGGCAACATGTGGAAGCAGCTGCGACTGAAGGGCAAGGCATTGAGGAGGCAGTGGCATGTGGGGTAGGGGAGGGCAACGTACGAAGACACCCGCGGCACCAAGGGCAAGCGCCTTGAGCACATCGGTGCCGCGCCGCACCCCACCGTCCAGAAACACCGGCACCCGCCCTCGCGCTGCCTTCACCACCTGCCACACCACTCGGTGGGGGAAAGAAGGGGGGGGTTGGGGAAGGGACGGGGAGGGGAGGTGGTGGTGAGGGGAAGGTGGTGGTGAGAAGGTGGTGCTGACGGGGATTTGGCGGGGAAGGGGATATGGTGGGGAAGGGGATATGGTGGGGAAGGGGATATGGTGGGGAGGGTGTTTGCAGTGTGTGGAGCATCACGCATGAACTTGACAGGCGTTGGGGCGAACACGAGGGGAACGAAATCAATGCAGGCAGAACGGCATAGATGTTGCCACTCGCAGTGCCGACAGGCGGGGTACTGCATAGATGCAATGGGTGTGGTGTGGGTGCGAGCATGGGTGTGGGAGTAGGAGCGAGAGTGTGTGGCAGGCATGGGGGGCGCCGCGCACCTCCTCGAGGGCGCAGATGGTGGCGGAGACGTAGTCCAGCTGGCGCGCGCCGTGGTTGGACACTATTATGCCCGCCGCCCCGTACTCTATCGATATCTCCGCTGCTCGCCACCGTGCCGGGTGGAGGGATGAACAAGGACGGGTGGAAGAAGGGTTAGGATGAGCCGTGCAGGGAGCAACTTGGGGAAACCAGATGTGACTTGCTGTGAGCAGTATGAGCTACCCTCCGCTGTAATCACGGGCTTGACTTGACTCACCATCCTCTGCTGTGATGACGCCCTTGACGAGAATGGGCAGCGATGTGATGGACTTGAGCCATGCGATGTCCTGTAGGCGCACACATGCATGCACATGCACACACACACGCACACACACATGTACGTACAGACATGCGCATGCACACATGCGCATGCACACATGCACATTCACACACGCGCACGCAATGTGCACGGGCACACACATGCACCACACAATCATTGGAGACAAGTGGCGGAAAGAAGGGGTGAAAGAGGGGGGGAATGGGGAGTCGGAGGGAAGAAATGAAGGATCGTTGAGGTTGGAGTCTGGCAGAGAAGAGGAGAATGGAGCACGCAGCGGCAACTGACGGAAGGTCGTACAGCAGGCACCCATACACCCACATTCAAGCAGCACACACCACACTCGCCACGCACCCCACACACAGCACGCACACGGCACGGTGAGAGCAGGGGCGCTCACCTTCCAGCTGAGCGAGCGGTCGATCTGACCCGCCACGTACGACGACAGCCCCGACTCCTGTGACTGATGCGCGCCCGCCGTGACACGTGGTGGTAGGCAGTGACGGAGAGGGTAGAGGAGAGAACGTGGAGTGAGTGAAGGGCAACGAGCATTGCTGTGCTGGTCAACGGTGCAACGACGCTCATTTTATCACAACGCAACTAATTGTATGCTGCCTTCCCATGCCGCCATACCTTGTCCATACTGCCGAGGTTCAGTCCTTCGAAGTTCTTCAGAGTGAGGTGAGGTGGCAGCACGAACCTGCCACGCGCACCACCATGCCATGCCAAGCCATGAGTCAGTCACGATGGCCCCAATCCATGCCATGAAAACAGTGACCAACAGCAGCCACAATCCCTACAATACGCCCTCGCCCTTGCTGCTTTTTCCGCTTCAAGTTCCTCTTTGCATCGTTGACTTTTCAAAGTGCCTCACAGTAATTCGTTACTTCAGCGTGAACACTACAGCCCTTCTCTAGGTGCGCTTTTGAATCCCTCCACCCACGGTCCCCCAGCCATCACATTCCCCCACCCCACCCCCTCGTCGCCAACCCAACCCCCCACGCCGCCTGAAGCAGCAACCTGCGCCACGGCTGGCGCGCGCGGACGGGCGGCGCACCTGTTTTTGATGTCGGCCTCGCGACGGCCGAGGCGCGGCGTGTCGACGGTGAGCGCGATGGCCTTGAACCCCGCCCGCTCCGCGCGCCGCACCAGCTGCTCCACCACCTGCCGGTCCTTGTACACCTGGGGGGGGGCATGGGGGGAGGGGGTGAGGGGGGTGGGGGAGTGTGAGGGGCGGGAGGTTGCGGGGCACATAGCCATGGCGGGGCACATAGCAGCAGGAGCAAGCTGGAGACGAAGCAGGCGGCAGCGCAACGCAATGCGGAAAACAATACTGCCTGCCGGCTACTGGCGGAAGGTAGAGCGCGCGGCACTCACGTAGAGCTGGAAGAAGCGCAGACCCGGACCCACCGACGCCACCTCCTCCACGCTGCTCGTCGCCCACGACGACAGCACCTGCTCGCCCCAGGGGGAGGGAGCGCGGTGAAATGGGCGACGGGAGGGGAATGGGGGAGAGAGGAGGGGAAGCAGGCGCAGGAGAGGAAAACGAGGGGGGGAAGAGAGGCAAGAGTGAAATAGAGAAGAGGAGGCAGGGAACACTGGTGGCGGTAAGATGAAGACTAGCAATTGCGCATTTCCGGCAGCGCCCCGTTCTACACATCACCGCACTGCACGGCACGTGAATTCCACCTTCAAAGCGGACCAACGGATTTACACGTCACTGCTGCTCGAAGCACCTATCGCGCTTCCATTATTTCCGGCGCTACCTCCAAGATACCATTGTTCCAGCTTACTATGGCTCCGGCTTACCATGGCCGTGTCGAATTTAGCTGCCGCGCGGGCCGTGGCGAGCTCGCCTGCAGGAAGAGAGCGGCGGAGGACAGGGCAGCGGATATGACAGGTGAATAGCTGCACATTGACGGATGTGGCGTTCGTTTCGTGGTTGTTACACTACGCGAGAAAACGAACAAAATTTCCGCATCACATTGCGAGAGAGGAGCGGCGGGCGGCGCGCACCTTCGGGGTGCGCCATGCGCTGGAAGGCGGTGGGCGCGAGCATGATGGGCATGGAGATGCGGTGGCCCAGCACGCTCGTCGTCGTGTCCACGCTCGACACGTCGATCAGAATCCGCGGCCGGAACCTGCAGTCGGGACATGTTCAGGCATGCACGGCGGCACAGCCGGAGTGTGAACGTTAGCATCATCAACACTGCCAGCCGTCGGAATCAGCTCATCAGTTGCTCGTTTCGGCATGCTTTTAACGGAAGGGGAATTCGACGGAACAAACAGCCAGGCCTAACAGGGAGCCGCGACGTGAGGCTGAGGGGCGGCACCTGATGCGCTCGAAGGCGTTGCGGTTCTCGGCGAGCGTCCATTGGTCCTCGGCGCCCGACGCGTAGTAGTCGTACGCCTGCTTGGGCAGCTTCTCCTTGGCCAGGCACTGGAACTCCGAGATGTTCGTCACCGTGTTCGACGGATTGCTGGCAGGCGCCGCCATTGCCTCTCCTTTCGAGCTGGTCTGCAGCGCTCAAGTGAAGTTTAGCTGAAAGCAACCTTAGCGATTCCCGTCAGACGCGGCAGCGAAGCGACCGAGCGAGAGGTGCAGGAGTTGCCAAGGTCGTTTGGGACAGTGGCAGCGGATTGACTGCTCGCAGCAACAGCACGAGTGGTTCGATCGGAGCGGGCTGCAGGAAGAGCCTTGGAAATGGGTGGTGTGGTCGAATTGCAAGGACTGAGATGCGCGCACAGTGGGTGTGGGCGCCATGGGGAAGAGTGGCGGAAGCGCCGAGCGGGGAGTGGCGGATAAGATGAGTTCTGGCTGGCGCTCTCCCACGTGGCACCGCTTCGCCCGGACCACTTTCAAGGCCACATGGGTCTCTCGTGGCGGGGAGACTTGCTTTGCGGTGCTGCGGACTGGCGCGGATGCATGCACCTCGGCTCGGCTAACCCCGATGGCCGTGGGAATTACTGTATCGAGGTGGATGAGAGGCTATCTGTTATGAGTTGTATGAAAGAAGAGCGCGCAGAATGCAATATCGCGGAAGTGATTACAACTACTGAGCAAACAACGAGGCCTAGGCATAATATAGCACAGCTAGCTAGCCGAGGTCGCGGAGTCGCGCGAAGGTTGGGTGCAGGTTTGGGGTTGGAAAACACGAAGGCGACGCGGGAGACGTTCGGAAGGCGAGGTCGTCGGACCGAGCCTGAATTCCGAAAGTTGGAATTGTACGCGTAAGAGATGCCTCAGTAAGGAATTAGCGAAATTCCTTACACTACCCCCCCCCTTAAGAAAGGTGGTCGATATCAGGCACATGTCGGCGAGAAAGATACTGCCGAAGTACCGAGTGCCCTTGTAGTGAGTCAGCCGGGACCCACGTGTCATCTTCGCTTGTGCGATCCACCCAGCTTAGCAGGAAGTCGACGTGGCGTCCGGCGGGGGTCGCACGAATGCGATGGTTCAATATCTTCCAAGGTTGAAGCGTCGGATCTGCCACAGGTCGAACACTTGGTGCCTGGTGGGGTCGAGCGACGTCGGACGACTGTGGTGCCACGTAGTGGCGAAGTAAACTGACGTGGAAAGCATCGTGGATTTTCCAGTCGTCCGGTAGGAGAAGTTTCGCAGTGACCGGTGTCAGCATCCGAATGATGCGAAAGGGTCCCACGTAGCGGGGACGCAGTTTTGCAGGCTGGGGCAGCTTGAGGTTTTTTGTGTCCAGGAGGACCATCTGCCCGTCACGGAAGGGTAAATTCCGTCGATGTCGATCGGCGTAGCGGCTGGCGGCCGTGTTAGCTTTCCGGATAAATTCCGCTGCTTTATCGCGCGCTGCTTGTAGTTCCGAAACAAACTGCTGCGACCTTGGTACCGGGTTGTCGGGAGTCGTTGACGAGGATACGACCGGATCTATCCCGTAATTCAGGTAGAACGGCGACTGTTTGGTCGTTGCAGATGGGGCGTTATTGTACGCAAACTCGAGCATGGGAAGGGAGTCTTCCCACTTGGTGATGTCGGGGCAGTTCGTGCGAATCAACTGCTCCATTGTCTGGTTTGTCCTCTCTGTCTGTCCGTCGGTCTGTGGATGGTACGACGACGAAAACTGCATGCGGGTGCCGTACTGTGCCCACGTCTCCTGCCAGAACTTCGACGTGAATTTGGGGTCGCGGTCGCTGATTATCGCCGATGGCAACCCGTGTAGTCGTACGACGGTCGAGATGAAGAGCTTCGCTGTTTCTTCGGCTGTGATCGTCGTGCGGCATGGTGCGAAATGCGCCATTTTCGTTAAGCGATCGACGACGACAATTACCGAGTCGTTGCCACTTGCGCCAGCTGGCAGTCCCGTGACGAAATCCATTGTCACCTGTTGCCACGGTCGTTCGGGTGGCTCGAGGGGCTGCAGTAATCCAGCTGGGCGTTGGCGTGATGACTTCATTGCTTGGCAGGTCGGGCAGGCGGACACGTAGTGCTGCACGTCCGACGCCATGTCGGGCCAGTAATAATTCCGCTGCAGCAGCTTCAACGTTTTGTCGACGCCGAAATGCCGGGAGAGGTTGGAGTCGTGTACTTCCTGCGTCAGCAATTCTCGTAAGGGTCGGTAGGAAGGTACCCAAACTCGGTTAGTGCCGACTTTTAGGTAGTAGCTCCCATGCGCCGTGGTGACCCCGTGGTGTTGATTGGTCCTGAAAAACCGGTCAATCATGTAGCCATGCTTGAATAATCCTGTCAATAAGGGGTTAGAATGGGCGATTAGTACTGCTGCGGTCTGCATTGATGGTCGGGTCAGGGCGTCGGCGATGTTGTTGGCGCCCTTTTTGTACGTGATGGTGTAGCTGAAATTGGACTCGAGGTAATCGAGCCGCCGGATTTGTCGCGGGTTGAGCTGTGGTTGGCTGCGCATGTACTGTAATGACTTGTGGTCGGTTCGGACGGTGACGTCAGCTCCCGTGAGGTAACAGCGCCAGGTACGAAATGCATGCACAATGGCGAGCATTTCTTTGTCGTGGACCGGGTAGTTGCGCTCGGGCGGCTGCATTTTTCTTGACTCGTACGCGATGGGTTGCAGCCCGTTGCCGAAGTCCTGTAGTAACACAGCGCCCACGGCGAAATCGCTGGCGTCCGTCACGACCTCGAACGGTCGAGATGGATCTGCCAGCCGAAGCACCGGGGGTGAACTCAAAATTTTCTGCAGCTCGTTGAAGGCCAGCTGTTCTCTCTCCCCCCAACAAAATTGCACGCCCTTATGCAAAAGATCGGTTAACGGCCTGGTTACCCCCGCCATATTCGGTACAAAACGGCGGACGTAGTTAACGAAGCCGAGGAAACTCTGCAACTCCGTGATGTTCGTGGGCGGCTTCCACTCCGAAATCGCTTTTACTTTGCGAGGGTCAATTTTAATGCCCTCCCCTGAAACCACGTGCCCCAGGAACTCCAGCTCCGACTGTAAGAACTCACACTTAGAGCCCTTCGTAATCAGCCGGTTCTGCTGCAAGCGCCGGAACACCTCATCTAAGTCCCGTAAATGCTGCTCCCGGGTCTTGCTGTACACCAGGATGTCGTCCAGGTAAACGATAACTTTTTTGTCCAGCATGTCCCGAAACACCCCATTCATGGTGAGCTGGAAAGTCGAGGGTGCGTTCGTCAACCCGAACGGCATCACCGTGTACTCGTAACTGCCGTAGCGGGTGCGAAATGCAGTCTTCAGGCAGTCGTCTGCGAACACGCGAATTTGGTGGTAGCCACCTCGCAAATCGATTTTCGAGAAGAAGCGAGCCCCGCGAAGCTGGTCCAGCAGGTCGTCCGCTCGTGGGATCGGGTAACGCGATTTGATCGTGACCCGATTCAACGCTCGATAGTCAATGCACATGCGCAGGCCTCCGTCCTTCTTCGGTGTGAACAGTATCGGGGCGGCGTATGGAGACGTGCTCGGCCGGATAAAACCCTTCGAAAGCAGATAATCCAGCTGTTTCCGCAACTCGTCGAGCTCCGGTTGGCTGAGCCGCCATTGTGACCGAACGGTTGGTTTTGCGCCTGGCTCCAGCTCGATCCTGTGGTCTTCCGGACGCTGAGGTGGCAGCCCGTCAGGCAGGTCATCCGCGAAAATTTCGGGATACCTCCGAATTATGCTCGCCACGTCGTCGGGTACAGCAGCGCAGAGCGTGTCAATGTCGGCGATTTTGTCGGAGGCCACCACCTCGTACAGCTGTACGGCGTAGCCTTGCGCTCCCCATTTTATCGCCCTCTTCAATGTTATCGCGTTGACACGTGTTGTCATCGGCTCCGGCGCCGCCCATTTCGGAAGTGTCACGCGCCCCTTGTTGCACAGCACCGTGATCGCCCCCGTCGTCCAGTCGATCGTCGGATTGAATCGCTGTAGCCAATCTCGTCCCAGCAGCACATCGCAACCGTCCAGTGTCGTCGCCAGCATTCGCATTGAAAACCCGAAATCGTCGCCACACTTCATCCGAATTTGTCAGACCTCGTCTTTTATCGCCAGCGGTGTCCCATCCACCAGACGCGCGTCAATCTCCGGCAGACACCTGTCCAGCTTAACCCCATTTTTTTTGGCCGTTGCCAGGTTGACGAGACTGTGGCTCGCCCCACCGTCAACGAATAATTTTATTTTATGCCCGTTAACCCTCCCCACGACCAGCACAGGGTGATCCACGTGTTCATCCACCTTATTCGTCCGGTTGCGGTCGATAGCCCGTATCGGTACCACTACTCGGTGTGGATGTTGATTGCCGGGCGACGGGGTCTCGTCAGTAGGTGGCCCGACTGCTACTGACTCGTCTCTTTTCCCGACCCCTCTCCGTCGTTCCTGTTTCCCTGTTTCAGCTTCGGGCAGTCCTTCCTCCAGTGGCCCGGTTGGTTGCAGTTGAAGCACGTGTTAGGTCCACGTCTCGGTGCATCCACCCCATTGATTGTGGGCTGGCGCGGCGGTCCACGAAATTGAGTGCCCTCTCGGGAACTCATTCTCGCCCATTGCATCAGCGCATCCGTTGATTCAGCCACCTGGACGGCATCAAGAAAACCGCGTGGCCTCGCCCGTCGCACCTCGTACTGTACTTCGTACTTGAGGCCTGCGACATATCGGTCGAGTCGCTCCACGTCGCTCATATCGTCCACTTGGTCAGCCAAATTGCAGAATGTTGCCGTGTAATCTTGGACCGACGCCACCTGCTTCCAGGTGCGCAGCTTCATGCGAGCAGAATCCGAGGCGGATACTTTCTCGAATCTGGTTCGCAGCGCGGCGCCCCACTCCGTCCATGTGCGTATCGTGGCCACTCCGAAGATTGAAGTTGCCTGTTGCGTGACAGTTGTCCAGGTCCCGTCGTTCGCACGTGACATCCCTGCCGGAGTCCCCCCTGTCTGAAGAGTCCGCTTCCACCACTCCAACGCCGGCCCTCGTAACAGTGACACTGCAAAATTAATGCGGGTAGCATCGTCAGCAATTTGCGCAGCATTGAAAAATACCTCCACACCGAACAACCATGCCGACACAGTAACGGTTTTGTCGCTGGGGTTGAACGGGGGCGGGTTTGTCGGTTTTATTTTAACAGTTGTTGAGACTGTTGCTGCTGCATGCATCGGGGGCGCCACCGAAGCCATCACCGGGGTTGTCGCTGTTGCCGGTCGTGGCGTAGACTGCGACTGTTGCCTCGGCGCCGCTCGTGTCTGTTGCTGCGGCTGTGACTGTTGCTCCTGCGTCCCTTGTGCCTGTTGCATCCGTGCCGTCCACTCATCTTCAGCGTCCAGCGAGTTCTGTAGCTCGCTAAGGACCTCGTCGTTAGGTGCGAAGCTGCTAATTGCTTCATCCACGGCGGGCGACTCCTGACGCGCTTCACCTCGCGTCTGGCGTAGCTCGGCGTTTTCCTCCCTCAGGCGATCCAACTCGCCAGACATAGTCTGCATGTTGGATTGCATCGCCCGAAAGTCCTGCAAGAACGCGTCAAACTCTGCTTGCGTCATATTTCGGAGACTCATCCTAGCGGGCAGCGGGTTAATAACGATTTTTATGGTTTTGATGAAGGCGCAAACGCTATTAGTCGGAGCGAGATAATCGTATCTATCTCTCAGCCGACCGCTTTGCAGCCCACCAAACCTATCGCACCCCTGCACTAAAACTACCCCGGAAAGTGGAGGGTAACCTAGGAAAGTAGCTCTGATACCAAGTGTTATGAGTTGTATGAAAGAAGAGTGCGCATAATGCAATATCGCGGAAGTGATTACAACTACTGAGCAAACAACGAGGCCTACGCATAATATAGCACAGCTAGCTAGGCCGAGGTCGCGGAGTCGCGCGAAGGTTGGGTGCAGGTTTGGGGTTGGAAAACCCGAAGGCGACGCGGGAGACGTTCGGAAGGCGAGGTCGTCGGACCGAGCCTGAATTCCGAAAGTTGGAATTGTACGCGTAAGAGATGCCTCAGTAAGGAATTAGCGAAATTCCTTACACTATCATCGCCGCTTCAAAATCACGCATGTAACATAGATTGTCAATATGAGTATTTCCAGCGCTTACATCCTGCTATCAATCTCACATCATTATACACTACGTGCTGCTATCTCTCGTATTTCCTAGCAGCCCGCTCACTAATGGAGGTGTGGTAGGACGAGCTGAGCATGCGGCGGAAACTCGAATACACGTCGGCATACTGCGACGGAGCATCGGCCTCCACGGCGGCACCCAGTCCCAGCCTCGCGCCGCCCATGCCAGGCTTCTGCACCACACTGCCGTCCGGCAACATGCCAGTCTCCGGATCCACCTCCATGCCCACTCCAATCCCCGCTCCCCCCATGCCCAGTCCCAGCCCTCCCCCGCCCATGCCCAGTCCCAGCCCGCCCCCCTCCATGCCAATCGCTGGTGGCGGTGACATGGCGCGTGGCTTCGCCCCTGGGCCCCTTTTCCCCCCGCCACCCACCCCATGCCCTCCATGCCCGTGCCCTCTCTTCCCAATGCCCGCCCCAAGAATCCCCCTGCCGCCATCCGCCTCTTCCGCATCCTCCTCCTCGTCCTCATCCCCCTCCGCCAGGGGGTCCGTCTCCCCAATGGCCTTGAAGAAGCGTGCGATGCGGCGCCGCAGGTACTCCTCGGACTCGTGGGGCGGGGGGATGGTGGAGGGGATGTCGTGCGGCGCCATGGGCGCGTACGGCACGCCCGACCCCACCTGCTTCTTGCGCACCATGCCCGGGATCAGCCCCGGCGGGAACAGCGGGTACGGCGCCTTCTCCGCAGGCGTGGGCGCGGGGGCTGCAGGCGGCGCGTCTGAGGCGGGGGGCTGCGGCTCAGGGGGGGCGCTGGGGACTGGCGCGGGCGAGGGTTGGTGTGGGGGTTGAGTGGCGGGGGCAGGGGGCGGAGGGAAGGAAGGGGGGGTGACGGGCACGGGTGCAGAGGCAGGGGCTGCTGCATCGTGAGGCATGGGCGGCATGTGAGATGGAAGAGGGGGCCATGTGGGCGGGGGAGGGGCGTGGGGGTGCATGCCATGGGCATACGGCTGTGCGGCTGATGGGTATGGCAGTGCATGGGGGGTGGGAGAGGGGAAGAGGAGCACAGGAAAGGGGGCACAATGTCAGTAAAGCGAAAGAGAGCAGGGAAATATGTGGGTGCAAGCCAGAAAGAGCTTGGATCACACATGCCCAACAACTCACTCCCGCTCCCACTTCCAGAACGCACACATGCCAGCCACTTCCCTACAGCACACGCTCTCCACTCGCCTGCAGCGTGGTAGTCCATAGCAGGCACAGGTGGCGGGGGCGGCATGGGGGGGTGCTGGTGGGGCGGCAGGCGCATGAGCGCGCCCAGGTGCGCCATGGCCTCCCCCGGGTACACCTCCTTGCTGGCCCAGAACGCCAGGATCTTCCCCAGCCGCTCCTGGTTGCTGCTCTGCGCGTCACCCCCCCCGTGGAACAGCGCCGCCAGCATGAAGCCCAAACACGGCTGCAGCGCCGCCGCCACCGCGTCCACCGCCCCCGGCTGTGGCCTCTGCTGTAGACTGCCCGGTCCGAGGGGGGGTTGGTGGGGGGTGGGGAGAGTGAGGTGGGGAGAGTGAGGTGGAGAGAGTGAGGTGGAGAGAGTGAGGTGGAGAGAGTGAGGTGGAGAGAGTGAGGTGGAGAGTGCGGTGAGACGGGACAGCGAGGGGAGGGGAGGCGAGGCGGGGCACACCTGTTGAAGAGCACGTCGTTGACCACACACCTGTTGAAGAGCACGTCGTTGACCACACACCTGTTGAAGAGCACGTCGTTGACCACACACCTGTTGAAGAGCACGTCGTTGACCACACACCTGTTGAAGAGCACGTCGTTGACCACACACCTGTTGAAGAGCACGTCGTTGACCACACACCTGTTGAAGAGCACGTCGTTGACGAGGTAGATCACATGCAGCTGCCGCTCCGGCTTCCCTGCCAGGGCCGCCATGCGCTCCCGCAGCACCCACGCGATGTGCGGCGCCCACCCCATGCCCGCGCGCCACGCCACCCACGCCTTGCCGCCCTTGATGGCCTCCTTGGTGCCGCTCAGCCCCGCCAGCAGCGCCACCGCCTCGCCCCCCACGTCCGCCGGCAGCCCCGCCGCCGCCACCGCCGCCTGCAGCGCCACGTCAGCAGGGTCCGCGGGGGGTGGGGGCATGGGGGGGAGCGGGGGCTCCGGGGGAAGGGGAGGGGTGGAATCGGAGGGGAGAGGGACCGCAGGAGGGGCCTCAGAGCCGGTCTGCGCCTGCTGCGCGCCCGGCGCGCCCCCTACTGCTTGTTTCTCCCCCTCCTGCTCCCCCTCTACCTTCACTTCCGCGCTGCCGTGCTCCCCGTCCGCCTCCCCCTGCTTCCCCACGGCTTGCTCCGCCTGCCCATCAGCTGCACTCTTCCCCTCCGTCCAAGCCACCGCATCCGCGCCCCCCGACCCAGAGAGCGCGCACCAGAGGCGGAAGCGATAGTAGTCCGCGCCCTCCCCGCCCGCCTCGAGGAAGGCGTACGCGGGTTGGCCGCGCTGCTTGTCGCGCATGAGCGCCTCGAACTGCGGCCCGTTCTTCGCGGCGTACTCGACGGCCTTTTCCACGCGCCCGCGCACCTCCTCGCTCGCCGGGGCCGCCACCGCGGCTGGCGGAGGCTCGCGCGGATCGAAGAAGGCGGCAAGCGGGGAATTTGCGGGGAAGGCGGAGTCCTGAGCGGGTGGATAGGCGGGCTGGGGAGGTGGCTGGTAGGGATTTGGTTGGTTGTAAACGGAGGGAGGGTAGGGTTGGGGAGGATAAGCGTAAGGGTGGTGAGGGGGTTGGTGGTGCGGGTAATGGGGGGGCGCGTGATGCTGCGCGTGACTCGGGTCGTACCCGTAGTAGTGCGCCTGCGCCGCTTGCGCCTGCTGCTGCTGGTAGTGTTGGTGGTACTGTTGGTGATCGTACGAGTGAGCGTCATGGCCATAATGCTGTTGCTGCTGATAGTACGACTCGTGTGGCTGTGCTGCCTGATCCTCCGCCTTTGCCTCGCGCTGCTCGGGGTTATCCATGGCTGCGCCAGTGACGTGATCACGCGTCGTTAGCTGTGATTTGAGACTATTATATTATATATGTTTTTCTGATCTGACGTGTCAGAGTGGCCGAGTGGTCTAAGGCGCCGCACTCAAGTTGCGGTCTCGAAAGAGGCATGGGTTCAAACCCCATCTTTGACACGCTTTGTTGCTCCCCTGGCATGGCTTTTGGTGGTGCTGAGGCCACATGGACATGCTGCTGGAGCGTGGGGGTTTTGGTTGGCACCCTGGACAGCGCCTGCAGCAGGACCACAGAGATGGAATTGTTCTTTCAGCATGCTCCACTCATGTCTTGCAATGTGGCAATCTCATACGACATCTTATCTTGCGTTGAGTTGAAGCAATCTTGTGCACATTGCCAACTTGAGGAATCATAGGCCTGATTAAAAACGCCAGCAAAGAAAATATTGTTGATTATTATACATGCATGGCAGCTTGACTGTTGCATTGCATGGTGCTATGGCAACACCAGCGAGTACCAGTGGGCACTCACAACGCAACGCTAAAGAAACTGCTGCCTGCGTGTTAGTTCAACTAAAAGCTTCATGTGCTTGCTTGGTGCTTGCTGCGTGCTTGCTGCTTGCATCAGGTGCTCCCAGCAGGTGCTTGCTTGAGGGTGTGGCCAGGTTAGTGGAGGTGGTGGAGGTGGTGGAGAATGCCATCCATGTCAGTGAGCGGGGCAGGGCTCAATAGATTGATGTCAGTGAGGGGGGCGGAGGGCATCAGCCGATGCACTAGAGTCAGTGGGGGGCATGGGTTGCCCGGAAGAAGAGGCAGCAGCAGCAGGCAGGGGGGGTCGGTGGCGCCACAGGGGAGTGGAGGAGGACAGGGGGAGAGGCGGCACGCCACCTGGCAGGGTGGCAGCTGGGGGGGCGGTGGAAGGGGCGGCAGACGGGGTGGCGTGGTAATCTCTGACTGCTGCAACGTGCGCTCTCCCCCCCCCACTCCCTGCCCGCACGCTCGAGTCAGGTGGGTCAAGCGCACGGGCAGCATCAGCGGGGTGTGGGTGTGAGGTGGGGGCGGCAGGCGTGGGAGGCACGGCGGCAAGGCGTGCCCATACGGCCGCATGCTCCCACGATTGCAGGAACCACGGGGGAGGCGCTAGGGGCGACTGCGGCGCATGGGGAGAGCCAGCAGGGGGGGTGTGGCATGTGGGGGGGAGGGGGTTGGAGGCAAGGGTGGGGTGGGAGGAGGCAGCGTGCTGGGTGGCATGGGCGTGAGAGAGGGGAGGTGGTGGCGGCATTGCAGCATGCGAGGACGAGGGCAGCACCGCCATCTGCACCGCTGCACCCTCGCTGCTCCCCTCGCCCCCCCCACTCTCCATCACGCTCCCACCGTACAATGATACCCCGCCCTCCCCTTGCTGCCCACCCCCCTCGGGTCCCCGCGCCCCACGCCTGCACGCCTCCTTGTCGCCGCCTCCATCCCTCTCTTCCTCCTCCCACCCTCCCCCTCCTACCTCCCCTTCCTCCTCTCTTGTTTTCCATTCCTTCCCCCCGCCCCACTCCTCCTCATCACTCCACTCCTCCTCGCAACCCCCTTTGCCAGCACGTGCAGCGAACGGCTTGCATGCATCACCCTCACCCTCCTGCTCCTGCTCCTGCTCCCCCTGTTGCAGAGGGTCGGGCGCCAAGCGGCACTTCTGGGAGATCAAGGCGCGGGGAAGAGGGTCGGTCACGCAGCAGCGCGAGGAAGGGGGGAGAGGGGAGGAGACACGAGGTGAGTGGTGGTTGCAGCAAGCATTGAGCGTGCATGGCCGTATCCATCCCATGCCCCCATCCCGCTCCCCCTAACCCAACCCATGCCCCCTACCCCATGGCTCCCATCCTCCCCCATCCTTCCCCCTAACCTCCGTCCTCCCTCCATCACCCCCCCTGCACCCCCGACTGACCACGGGGCCGTCATCGTGAGCGGGGGAGAGGGCGGAGCGCGAGACGAGGCAGTCGAGCAGCAGCCCCACGGGCCACGCCAGGGGGAACAGCGCCACCACCGCCACGCCCCCCACCCACGCCGTCGCCCCCGCCACCTGCAGACTCCTGGGGGGCGGGGGGGGAGCGAGAGGTGGAGGAGGTGGAGGGGGAAGGGGAGGTGGGAGCAACGGACAAAGGGGGAAGGAGGGGATGAAGAGGGGTGTGGGAGTTGGGAGGAGGCGTAACTCTCAGCTGCTGACGTGGCTCGTATGAGCGAGCGCATGGGAGGGGCGAGTGGCGAGTAGCGAGTGTGAGAAGAGAAGTGAGGTTGAACGAGTGCAAGGAGGAGGGGCATACCGGTTGGTGCAGAGGGCGGGCGGCAGGAGCTCAACGGCGAGGAAGAGCAGCGAGAAGGCGCACAGCCACCCCCACCACACGCCCAACACCTCTGCACGCCCCGCCATGCCATGCCCACACAGGCCCGTGGGGAAGAATGGTAGGGAGCAAAGGAGTGAGAGGCATGCTGTGATGGGAGGGATGCGCCCACGTGCAGTACGGTGGGTGTGAGAAGCCATGCAGCCCAGGGCGGCATTCCCAGCAGCTCCAGGGAGGGGCGCGCTCATCGCAGCGCCTCAGCACCTTCTGGCAGGAGGGGGATGCTCAGAGCAGTGGCGGGGGGGGTAAGGGGGGAGGGCTTACCGGTGAAGGCAGCGGCAGCGACAGTGGAGGCGAGGCAGCTGGCGAGCAGCAGCGCCGCCAGCAGCAGGTTGCCATGGCGCCTCACCCGCAGCACCGCCCTCGCCTGCCATCCACCCGTCCATGGGCCCCGCGGGGCGAGGAGTGAGAGGCGCGAGGGCAGTAGACAGGTGGTGAGAGAGAGGAGTGACAGGGTAGGACACGGGGACATGCATGCCGAGCAGCAAAGCAAGCAAGAGAGGCCAATGGGGGACGATGAGGGATGTGATGGGCGGCACAAGGAAGCGGAAGGAGCAGCGAGGGCGGATGGGGCGCACCTTTCTGCGCTCAGCCTTGTCCGCGCTCGCTGCCAGCGCCTGCACGTGGGGGGGCGCGGAGAGAGGGGCGCAGAGAGAGGCGCGGAGAGGAGAATGTGTTGGAAAGGGAGCAGGCAGGAAGAGGCACGGAGGTGCGCCGGCAGCAGGGCAGAAATGGAGTGGGAATGGCGCACCTGCAGCAAGGCTTACCTGCAGCGAGGGCAGGTCGAGCGCGAGCGTGCTGGCCATGACACACGCCACCAGCGCCGCCACCCCCACACCCGCCCCGCCTGCCGTACCGCCACACCGAGGGGCAGGGGGTTGGGGAGGGAGAGGGGGGTGTGGGGGGAATGGCGGAGGGGAGTTGGAGACACGAGAGGCACACGACAACACTGGCGGACGGCCGACGGCCGGGCAGACGTCGCGTGCTCGCGATCCACGCACGCTGGCGACGCACCTGCGACGGAGAATGCGATGGTTTGCGACAGCGAGGGCGGTGCGAGCCAGCCGTTGTAGACGTAGCAGGTGTCGAGCAGCGACAGTGGAGGCGAGGCAGCTGGCGAGCAGCAGCGCCGCCAGCAGCAGGTTGCCATGGCGCCTCACCCGCAGCACCGCCCTCGCCTGCCATCCACCCGTCCATGGGCCCCGCGGGGCGAGGAGTGAGAGGCGCGAGGGCAGTAGACAGGTGGTGAGAGAGAGGAGTGACAGGGTAGGACACGGGGACATGCATGCCGAGCAGCAAAGCAAGCAAGAGAGGCCAATGGGGGACGATGAGGGATGTGATGGGCGGCACAAGGAAGCGGAAGGAGCAGCGAGGGCGGATGGGGCGCACCTTTCTGCGCTCAGCCTTGTCCGCGCTCGCTGCCAGCGCCTGCACGTGGGGGGGCGCGGAGAGAGGGGCGCAGAGAGAGGCGCGGAGAGGAGAATGTGTTGGAAAGGGAGCAGGCAGGAAGAGGCACGGAGGTGCGCCGGCAGCAGGGCAGAAATGGAGTGGGAATGGCGCACCTGCAGCAAGGCTTACCTGCAGCGAGGGCAGGTCGAGCGCGAGCGTGCTGGCCATGACACACGCCACCAGCGCCGCCACCCCCACACCCGCCCCGCCTGCCGTACCGCCACACCGAGGGGCAGGGGGTTGGGGAGGGAGAGGGGGGTGTGGGGGGAATGGCGGAGGGGAGTTGGAGACACGAGAGGCACACGACAACACTGGCGGACGGCCGACGGCCGGGCAGACGTCGCGTGCTCGCGATCCACGCACGCTGGCGACGCACCTGCGACGGAGAATGCGATGGTTTGCGACAGCGAGGGCGGTGCGAGCCAGCCGTTGTAGACGTAGCAGGTGTCGAGGCACGGCTGTAGCGACGCGCACGCCGCCACGCACGCGCTCATGTTGAACTCCGCCATGCCGCCGCCGCGCGACAAACGACGAGGCACGCGATGCAACGAGGGAGACTATGCGACGACGGCGAGAGTGCGACCAATGCGACGAGGCTCGTCGTGCAGAGGGCAGCGACGGTCAGTCGTGATGCGCAGCGGGCTGGCTTGAAGGGCCGGCTTGAGAACTAATCGACAAGGCCTGACGCCCTCCCCGCAGCGGCATGGTGAAGGCTCACGCGCTCACAGACGCAGTCACGGCGTGGCGCTGAAAGCTCGAACAACAGGTCACGAGCGATGATGGTTCAACTAGTAGGTCATTAATCGCGATGCGGTGTTGTGTTGTGGCAGGAGGTGCACGGCGCTGTGCCGTGTTCCATCGTGCACTTGTCCCCCGTTCCTCGCTCACTCCCACCCCACCGACGCGGAGAGTTGGTGACTCATTCGTGACCGCTGGTGGACACGGCAGATGTGGCGGGTTCTTTCGCGCTACCGTACTGCACTCCCTAGTAAATCAAGCATAATTTACAATGTTATGTAAATCCAAACAAACACATCAAAAGCAAGATACTCTGGCACCTACCTAGATCCTAGAATGTACACTCAACTAATGCATTGAGCTCAATCCAGTCTAGTAGACACAAACCCAAGTATGTGTCAAATAGTACTTAGGAGATTAGGAGCTTGGAGGGAGAGAGTAGCATAGCGAGATGGATATCGAGGGAGTTTGGGTTGGCCAAAGAGGTTCAATAATGAGAAACAGTACAAGGATATAGGCAAGGAAAAGAGAGGGTACACCACCAACAGTTGATGCTAATAACTAAACTAGTACACTAGCTAGCTGTAGGCAGTTATAAGATATGCAATATAATTCAACACACCCCCGTAACTGCCTACGGCTGTAGCTAGTGGTGTCTGGCACCAGGTCGCCTGGAGAGCGGTTGCTGTAGCTGGGATAGGCACAGAAACAGCGGTGGCTGACCGGCAGCACCTGTGAACGCCAGAACGGAGGTGGGCGCGGAGAGCGCGGAGGAGGGCTGGGATAGCCGGAGGGCGAAGGATGCTGGTCGCTCGCCATCTACGAGCAAACACAACTGTTGGTGAGGAGGAGGAAACTGGTGGTGGTGCACAGGAGGAGATGCGGCTGGAGGAGAGGAGATAGGAGGAGGAGATGCGGCTGGAGGGAGGAGAGAGGAGGAGGAGATGCGGCTGGAGGGAGGAGAGAGGAGGAGGAGATGCGGCTGGAGGGAGGAGAGAGGAGGAGGAGATGGTGCAGCGGAAGGTAGAGGGAGGAGGTGCGGCTGGGGCTGCCTTGTCAAACCCGCCACCCCCACATCCCTTCTCCCCCCCCCCCAACGCGGCACGCCCAGCAGATGCGGTGCAGCGAGGAGGAGGAGGATAGGGGGGTTCAAGGGGGGCTTTAGTACCCCCGGAGCCTCGCCTGCCAATCCCGCCAACCCCCTCCCCAAGTCTCTGCCGTTGCAGTGCGCGGCAGAGGGGAGGGCGGGGAGCAGGATGGAGATGTCGGGGGCGCCAACGAACTTCGTTGGCGCTGACGCGGGCGACTGCTGCCGTCGGCCCGCCACTCCCTTCCCCCATCCTCCACGTTATAGCTACCGCCCCCGCATACGTGCAGGGGCGGGACGGGTGCGGAAGCGCACGGGGGGCGAACGGGGGGGCGGCAGAGGCGCAGCAGTGGGGCGACGTGGCGACGAAGGGGCGGGGCGATGGGGCGAGACGAGGCGGCCGCGACGAACGGCGATCGCGCAGCTGCTGCAGTACTCGCGCTGCATTTCGCGACCGTCTCCCTGCTCGTCGCGGCGGTCGCCTTGCAGGCCGCCAGCAGCTGCAAACGAGCGTGAGGGAAAGCTCCCATGGTTCAAATTTGAGCGAGGGCCTAGGACCGAAACACGGGCTCTGATAGCATGTCAAATAGTACTTAGGAGATTAGGAGCTTGGAGGGAGAGAGTAGCATAGCGAGATGGATATCGAGGGAGTTTGGGTTGGCCAAAGAGGTTCAATAATGAGAAACAGTACAAGGATATAGGCAAGGAAAAGAGAGGGTACACCACCAACAGTTGATGCTAATAACTAAACTAGTACACTAGCTAGCTGTAGGCAGTTATAAGATATGCAATATAATTCAACAGTATGACACAACCACAAAGTAGCAATAAGAACCCATAGGCAGTGGGATAACAGGGCCCTACAAAGCAACGTGCATTCACAAGTCTCGCTTCACAAATCGTCCCTGCATGGAAAGGGGGGAGGTGAGAGAAAGGACATTAGTTGGCCAAGAGTGACCTTCCAAATCTAACAGAAGCCATGAAAGAAAACCACAACAGCCTTCAAATCCCATCTCCTCCCCCAAGAGCACACCTTGACGCGCGGGCGGCGGTCGGCGTTGACTTTGCGCACTTGGTAGCGGATGGTCTTGGAGAAGAGCCGGTTGCGCCGCTTCTCCCGGTACCGCAGCACCCGCGCCTCCCGCCCCTCCACGTACCCCTCCACCTGCCCCTCCACCTGCCCGTCAATGTGCCCGTCCAGGTGCCCGTCCTCGAGCAGCAGGTCGCTGCACACGCGGTCCAGCCCGTGCGGCACCGACGCCACACGACTCACCCCCGACTCGCCCACCTCGCCCTCCGGTCCCTCCTCTCGCCCCGTGCTGATCACCGAGTGTGGGGTCATGGCCGCCTGCAGTGGCTGGGAGGGGGGAGGCGGGCAGAGTGAAAGGGGCGTGGGGAGACACAGCGTGAGGTCACAATGAGGATGGGGCGTGACTGCTGGTAAGCAGAGTAAACACATGACAACTCATATGGTCTGCTGCAACAAGCAGCAGGAGAGAAGCAGGTGGGAAGCAGCAGGGGTGCAGGGAAGGGAACGGACCTGGGGTTCGGAGCACACAGAGGGCTGCGCGTGGAGGGCGAGCGAGGGGGGGGTGTCGTCCAGCCAGGGCGATGCCTGGAGGCCGTTATGCGACCAGGCAGTGATGATGTCAGCATAGTTGAGGTGCAGCGCCGGACACCACCGCCCGCCCGCACCCCTCTCCCCCAAACTACCCAGCACGCCTCGCATCGCTGCTGCACGCCTGTCCGCACCCTCCTTGCTGCCCCGCACGTTCTCCCCCTGGGGTTGGTGTGCGGGAGGGCAGTGAGGGTGTGCGGCGAGCAGGGTGAGGTGCGAGGCGACGCCCTTGAGCTGAGCCTCCACGGCGCCCTCCTCCATCACCACCTCCTCTGCCTCCTCCACGCCCCCCTCCGCCTCCCCTGATGACCGCCCCCTGGCTTCACCCCCGCACGCACCCACCTTCCCATTCCACTCCCGCGCCCTCCTGCCCTCACTGCCCTCCCACCGCTCTGCAGCTCTCTCCGCCGGGCTCCCACCCCCTGCTGCCGTGCGCTGCTGCAGGGGTTGCGCGTGCCCCTGGTGGTGCTGCTGGCCATCGGAGAGCGAGAGCGAGTGGGAGTGTGAGTGTGAGTGGGTGGCGGACGCGGAGGCGGAGGCAGAGGCGGGGGCGCGCGCGTCCATGGCGGAATCTGACAGCGCTGCTGCGGATGCCACGGCGCTGCCAGCAGCAGCAGCGGAGGAGCTGAGGAAGCTGCTGGCAGGGGCGTGGCTGACGGACATGCTCGCAGCAGCGGCGGTGGGGGACGCAGGGTTGCAGCGGTCCAGCGATGCGCAGGGTGACAGGCCCTGGGGGTGCATGGGAAGGTGCATGTGCTGCTGTGCGTGCCCACGCATGCCCGCCATCCCCACGCCCTGCACGCCCTGTCGTGCTGCCACTGGACCCATGCCCACCCATGCCTCACGCTTCACCCCACCTCCTCCTCCCGCCTCCACGCCCGCCCCCCCGCCTTCCGCAATACTGGCCAGCCCTCCCCCCTCTGCTGTGCTTCTCACCCCGCCTGTCGCTCCCGCTGCACTCCCAGCTCCCTCCCCTCCCTGTGCACCTACACTCATACCTGCACCTGAGCCTGCAACCAAACCTGCTGCCCAACCAAACCCCAGTCCCCGCAGGTGCTGTCGCTTCGCGGGGCGCGCGGGCAGCCCGGGGCCGTCAGGGGGCAGCGCGTGGGTGCGCGACGCATGGACCGCCGCCGCGGGCTGCACCGCTGCCGCCGCCACTGACGCGTGGGGGGACTCGCCGCATGGGGAAGCGCCAGCGCCAGAGGCAGCGGCGGCTGAAGTGGCAGACGGGGGGGTGAAGTAGCTGGCATGGTTGGGATGGGCCTGCTGCGCCGCAGCAGCGGTTTGCAGCCTCGCCAGGAGAGGGGACGACGGGGGGCAAGCGGCGGGAGGTGTGGCGGAGGGCGGCGGGGCCGCGCGCGGGGTCATGCAGAGCGCGAGGTCGCGCGCGAACTGGTCGTCCTCGTCGATGTCGTCCAGCCCCGCCATGCCCGCCATGCCCGCCGCGCCCTCCGCGCCCCCCATGCCGCTCATCATGTCCTCGAACTCCTCGAACCCGCTGCTGCTGCCCAGTCGCCCCGCCTCCCCCGCCTCCTCCTCCCCGCACACCTGCGCCACCCGCTCGTCCATCCATCCCGCCGCTATCTCCGCGCCTCCTTCCCTCTCCTCCCTCCCCCCGCCCCCCTGCACCTCCTCCGCTCCCCTCGCCTCTCCTCCCGCCCGCACGGCACCCCTCGCCGTGTCTCGCCCGTCGCGTGCTTCCACGCCCCGTCCGCCGGCCGCGGATGCGGATGCGGGTGCGGGAGCGGGTGCGGGAGCGGGTGCGGGTGCGGATGCGGGTGCAGGAGGAGCAGTGCGGGGCGACTGGAGAGATCGAGGCGCGTGCGCCTTCCCGCCTGGCGCGCCGGGCAGCGAGAGCAGGCAGCCTGCATAGGGGCTGGGGGGAGTGAACGGGCTCGCGGGCGCGCGCAGCAGATGTGATTTGGCGCACAACCCCGCGGGCGCGGAGAGGGGGGAATGCGCCGCGCCGGCTGCGGCCTTGGCCCACGGCGAGGCACCCTGCAGGGACTCGTTGGTGTGACGTGGAGAGGGGGCAAACGACCACGTGGACGCTGGTGATAGGCGCACAGAGCCAGCTGTTGCCTTGGGCGCTGCGTCATGCGCAGGTGCAGGTGACGCGGCCGGTCTGCTCTGCGGCGTGGACTGCTGCTGCTGCGGGTGGTGGTCCTGCGGCGCATGCATGGCGGCGGCGCCCTCCCGCACCTTCCACCGCAACACGCTGCACGCCACCCCGCCTGCACTCGCCCCTTGCAGCCTGCCCCCCGCGCTCCCCCCTGCAACGTCCACCTCATCCGCCGCTCTCCCCCCTCTACCTGCTCCCCTCCTCGCGTCACCCGCGCGCGCGACAGCAACCCCGCCTTGAGCTGTGCAGTTGGTGTCGGGCGGGCGGTGCGCGCGGGAGGGGCAGCGGGGGTCGGGCGGGTGCGACGACGAGCTCGTGCCGGACATGCTGGAGGGCAGTCCGCTCTGCGCGCTCTCCGCGCCGATCGCGCCCGCCGTCGGCCCCGCCACGCTCCCCGCCACACCCTCCTCCGCGTCACTGCACGTCGCCGCCGCGCCCCGAACCCCAGACTCGTCTGCGCGCGGAAGCAGGCTCTGCGCCAACTCTCCGCGCAGCACTCTCCCCGCAACGGCGCGCGGAAGACTGCCGGCCGCATCGGAAGACAACCCCGCGCCTCTGCGATCTATCTTAAGCGGCGCGCCGTTGGGGCCCAAGCGCACGCGCTCATGGCGCTGCGAGAGCGGATTGGCGGAGTGCACGAAGACGTCGCAGGGCTCGCAGACGTACGCGTCGTCCGCGGCGCAGTAGAGCACCGCGGGCTGGCACGAACACGCGTCGCACACACGGTGCGGCCGATGGGCGACGGCGGGAGCGGACGCGGACGGAAGGAACGGCGAGCGCAGCGTGAGGTGCGCGGGCTGTGCCTCCGCTGTATCCTCTGCGCGTAGCTGCTGCTGCTGCTGCCGTTGCTGCTGTTGCTGCTGCTGCTGCTGCTGCTGCTGTTGCTGCTGCTGCTGCTGTGTCTGCTGCTGCGTCTGCCGCTGCTGCTGCGTCTGCTGCTGCTGCTGCTGCTGCCGCTGCTGCTGTTGCTGCTGGAGGAGCTGCGAGTGCTGCTGCTGGTGCTGGAAGAGCTCCTTCTGCTGCCGCTCATGCAGTTGAGCCAACTGCTGCCACTGCTGCTCCTGAAACTGCTTGTACTCCACACGCTGCTGCTGTTGCTGCTGCTGCTGCTGCTGCCATTTCCATGAATCCTGCTGCTCTTGCTGCTTCTGCTGCTCTTGCTGCTCCGTCTGCTCTGGCTGTTGGTGCTGCTGCTGCGGCTGCTCTAGCTTCTGCTGTGGCTGCTGCGATTGCTGCCGAAGCTGCTGCTGCTGTTGCTGGTGTTGCAATTGTGGCTGCTGGGACTGCTGCTGCTGCCGCTGCTGCTGTTGTTGTTGATGCTGCTGCTGCTGCTGCTGCTGCTGCTGCCATAGTTGCGATCTCAGCTGCTGGAGCTGAAATTCCTGTCGTTCGCACTGCAGGGATTGTTGTTGCAAAAGGAACTGCTGCTGCTGTCGTTGCTGCCACCACTGCTGCTGATGCTGAATCAAGAGTTGCTGGTGCATGCGAGCCTGCTGCTGCTGGAGCAGCCCTAACTCATTGTTTTGCCACCCTAGCTGTCGCACGCCATCGATACTCGCTGCCTGCTGCTGCTGCTGTTGCTGCTGGTGCTGACGGCCTTCCGGGATCACGCCATGCTGCTGGCCCAACACAAGACCTCTAATGTCTTCCATTGGAATCTGGAACTACATAATATAACATCAAATCGCAATCAAGGTACACAGTATCAAAATGCGACACTGCGCGCTTAGACTCTCAACGACGGTCGCAACATGAAATGCACAGGCGCCAAGATATCAATCGTAATAGAACCTTCAACTTAATCGTGTAGGAGCGAACACATAGTACCGTCGCTTGCGGGTCGACAAAGTGAAATGGCGATGCTTTTTCCTCCCAGCCTACACCAAACCCTAGTCTAGCAAGGTGCAGCGCGGAGAAATTCAGAACTTGAATCAAGCGGCAACTCCAAGGAGCCCTAGAATTCAAACTTCCTTGTATCTCATCATCGGCGGGCAGATAAATGGCAAGGAGGACGGATCAGATGGAGAGATGCTCCATGCGCTGTCCACATCTGCTGCCCGCCGCGTCCTCGAAGGATGTTACAGGTGACTCCGTCAGCACAGCGCGCCAGTAATTCACCAATGAGCGATAGACATTCTGGTTGGCTGACGTGTAACCTCAGTACGTGTACCGCTCTCGTGCACCTGCAACTTTTTCTCTTTCGGGGCCAAAAGGTCAATTCAGATATTTGTCGCGGGCTCCTGTTGGTTGAAAGGCGTCAGATATTTATTCTCGATATTCCTTGTTGCCGGCATGTTTGTTGGCTTTGGCCTGGGGGAAGCATGTGCTCCGCTAGAATATTCGATATGGCAAACCCACTGTTTCCGTCTTTACACCTCTACAAGATTTATATTCGCATGCGCATATATTTCCGTGAAAATGGTGGTTCACTAATTGTTGCATATTTCATTTACTGTGAAAGTTTGGGCGTGTATCTGCGACGAATTGCTCTCCCATCCCTGTTTCGAAGACACTGTAACGCATTTCTGGGATCCTCAAGTGTAACCCTTGATACGAAGCCACGTGTCCCGGAGTGTGTTCTCACTTCTGATGTGGCACTCGTTTGGGGAATCCTTCATTCACTATGTGATCCATCCAAACTCACTTGCTACCGATTGTCTGCATTCATTTCTCGCAATCGCAGATCTTTTCTCATTCTCCTAGTCGCCTCACCTTCAGTCACCCTGCACTCACCACCTCCACCATGGCCGCCTCTATCGCACTCTCTTCCGGAGCGTCTCTTCTCGCCGCTCCTCGCGTTCACATCCAGCCAACCGTGAGGTCACGAGTCGGTAAGTCGCGTCGCGGATTCGTGAGGACAGGCTAGGCATTGATGTCCGCAAATCCTGGGGGCTTTTTTGTTTCCTTCACTCTGCTCGTCATGCCGTGCGGATGTCCAAACTGAGCATATTCGTTGGTCGCCCTGCGCCGTCCCGCCGTGGTTGCAGGTCAACGGGTGGGTCCCGCGAGGGCTCTCTTCGGCGGCGGCAAGGACGGCGATCTGAGCGCCGATGGCGCCAAAAACGTAAGGGCTATGTAACAACTGCTGAGCTACATGTTTTCTGCTATGCGCGCTTCTGAGATTCAGGGCCGCGGATGCATTTTGACTTGCGTGGGGCGTGCGTGCGCGGTGCAGGCGGGGCCGTTCGGCAACATGGCGAATCTGTTCGAGACGGTGCGCAAGGCGCAGCAGGTGGTGCAGGTGGAGGCCGTCAAGGTGCAGAAGGAACTCGCCGCGTAAGCCCCCCTCGCTCCCCCGCCTCCTCTCCCCGCGCCTCTCAAGCGCAACTCAGCCTTTGGTAGTGCATCGTTGTTCTCACATGGTCCATAGTGCAGTTACGGTGTTGCGCCGTGATTTGTGCCCTCACATTTATCCAAGTGATAGGAGCGTGAGAGTCCGAGACACAAGTGTGCCAGTCGAGGTGTGCTGTAGGCATGGATCCGCCGCAAGTTGCTGCATTCTCGCTCTGTGTCCTCCCTCCATGGCAGGGCTGAGTTCGACGGCTACTGCGAAGACGAGCTCGTAAAGGTGCGTCTGCACTGGCCCGCCCTCTCGCGCATTTTGAACACGCACCCTACGGAATTTGATGAATATGAGGCATTTTGAAACGAATGACCAATGAAGTCCTATATTTTGTGAGCCATCAGATTCTGTCGCTCCAGTTTCGGAGCTCGTCACCCATTTATTGTGAACGAACGACCATGCCAGTCATGTTGTGGGCCGTTCTCCAGTTCCGTGACGCAAATTTCCCAATCACACTGCTCATTCCGTTTCCCGAGTGCTCCCCATGCTTGAATGCTGACGTGCATGCGTTGCAGGTGACGCTGACTGGCAACCAGGAGCCATGCCGGTGTGAAATCACCGATGCTGCTATGGAGCTCGGGGCAGAGGTGAGAGCACTGGCGTGGGAGCAGGGTAGTCGTGGGCGCTGGGATAGGAGAAGGTCACCATGGGTTGGAATGTTTGCATGGTAGCTGCGGCAAATGTAGCTGCCTTGATTCACTGCCACGGATGGAGTAGCTGTGGAGCATCATCGGCCCTCATCGTGTGTGTCACTGCTGTGGTGCCTCTCCCCCTCCTGCAAGCAGAAGCTGGGCGAGCTGATCACAGAGGCATACAAGGACGCCCATCAGAAGAGTGTCACGGTACGTGCTTGCTCAACCCTTTTCTTGCTGCTCCTTGCTGATATGCCTGTACCACAGGGCCTCATGTGGATCAAATCACCTCTTTCCTCGTTTTGACATTCCTAAACCCTGTCTGCGTGTTATGCAGGCCATGAAGCTACGCATGAAGGACCTTGCATCCAGCCTAGGCATGCCTCCCAACATGTAGAGCACCATGGAGTGTGCTTTTGACATACAAAGGTTTTGATTGCTGATATCCCTAATACACATGTTTGCCTTAAAAATGAATTGTAACAATTTATGTAACAATGCAGGTCTATTCATAAGCTAGCATTGGAACCTCATAAGCTAAACGTGTAGCATTTTATGCTGAGGACTTTTTCATGTAACCTTATGTACCACTTGTGTAAAAACAGCGCTTATGTTTAGCTTTCTACTAGAACAGATACTATCACGAGTGAATTTTTTGTCCTTGTTCAGTGCACTATGCACCTCACGCATTCCTTCTTAGGGCGGGTCCAGCGCGTACATTTTCCGTACATTACAGTTCATCTAGTGCGGTAATCTGTATTTCGTCACGGTTCAAAACGGTGCAATTTCAAAACCACTGTGCACCGCCTGTTATCTTTTCAAACCTCGACAAATGAACTGTATAGTACCTGTAAACGTACGCGCTGGACCCGCCCTTAGCAGCATTTTCTGGTCTGACGTATATTGGGAACGTTGATGACGAATGCTAAAATCACGTCACGTCAGATCGGGGTGGTTCCCAGGTGTTGCCATGTGTCAAGCCGCTGGTTGGTTGTCCAAACGCAGGGACAACCTCTCGAGCCAAGCCAATCCCCAAGCCTATGCGAGGCAGGCACGGTGGCATATTCTCACCACATTTTTTTCCCCTGTTGGCTTCGCGCGAAGCGAAACATCGCTTGCTGGCACGGTACCTCCAAGCAGCCCCTCCCCGGAGCAACCCAAACCAAGGCTCATTTCAGCCGAGCCAATTTCTGGGCTCGAAGAGCACACTGCTGCTGTTTTGTTCCTGCCAACCTTGAATTTCGCACATTTCCACATCCAGTTTTCGAGCCCCATCCCCATTCGCGCATAGGAAAATTCACTTGTGCAATCGCTTGCACGCATTTCAAGATTCAGTCGACGCAATTTTGCACTGTAAATTCCCACTTGAGTGCTGCCTGCGGGCGCGGGAAGGATGGCGGTGTCGCTAGATGACGTGGATTCGTTCCTCGCGAGCTGCAAGGAATCCGGCAATCAGGTGAGCTCCCATTCCTGTGCTGCTTTGTCGTCTGAATTAAGAGCTTGCGCGAGCTCTCTCGTTTCGCCTCCCGCGTTACTCATTCTCCGCGGCTGTGTGCGTCCCGTGGCTACCCTGTCGTCGCAGGCGTATTCTAACTTCAAAGAGATCCTCAAGGCGTTGCGCAATCCCGAAACCCAAGCCGCCGCGAGAAGGTATGCTAGCCGTAATCGGAAGGCTGCGAGTTCCCGTTTGCTGGTGGTGAAAAGTGACTACTGAAACGTTGTCTGACACAAGGCGACATCTTGAATCCGTTTAGCGAAACCACGATTAGGGGAAGCACGCCGTATGAACAATAAGTACAAAAATCACGCTTTGAAAATTCAAATCAAGGGGACGGTTGGTGGGGCCTTCAACGGATTATTGGCGAGCTAATGAGGTGACGCGACACGGCGAGAAGAGGCAAGTGCAAGGGGTCCTTCCAGATAACTTGGAACCAAATGTGTGTCCCGCAAGGCAACGACAGATGTGTGTCCCGCAAGGCAACGACAGATGTGTGTCCCGCAAGGCAACGACAGATGTGTGTCCCGCAAGGCAACGACAGATGTGTGTCCCGCAAGGCAACGACAGATGTGTGTCCCGCAAGGCAACGACAGATGTGTGTCCCGCAAGGCAACGACAGATTCAGTAGTCACTCTCTCTTCACTAGCGCTTCGCTACCCGCCTGGTGCGCGTGGCAGGTTCCTGGCGGCGCTGGAGGCGGCGATGCCAGCGGAGCCCGCGGAGGAGGTGATGCGCACCTTCAACTTCCGCATCCACACGCTCGCGCTCTCCCCGCTCCCCCACTCCGGTGCGCTCTCCCCGCTCCCCCACTCTGGTGCCTCCCCGCTCCCCCACTCTGGTGCGCTCTCCCCGCTCCCCCACGCTGGAAAGCTCTGTCCACTCCCCAGCCTGTGAATGCTTTTCCCACCTCAATCCTAATGCCCCATGCATGGAGACGGGTGGTGGCGCCGTAATGGGTGGTGAGCATGTTTAGGGTGGGAACACATGGCTGGGGGGTCCAAAAACAGTAAATGGCGACCATGAGTTTGCGCTGTTCACTCCCCTTCACCTCTCCGCATTCCCTTTCTTTCGCACTATCCCTCCCCCTCAGACCACGACCCTGCAGGGACACATCAAAACGGAGCTGCTGGCGCCGCCAGCACCAATGGCAATGGAGCCGCAGGGGAGAGCACAAGCAGCAGTGCAGGAGGAGCGCGGCAGACGCTAGCGCTGGTGGAGCTGCCGTCCATCTTCATCCCCGAGGACTGGTCCTTCACCTTCTACGAGGGCCTCACCCGCCACCCCGACGCCGGGTTCACGGGCCGCGATGTCGCCGAGCTGGGGTGCGGCAACGGGTGGATCTCCATCGCCCTCGCGCACCGCTGGGCGCCCAGGAAGGTGCGGTATGGAGGGGGTGGGAGGGAAGGGGAGGGGAGGACGTGCAGGCTGGGGTGTGGGTGTGGGGCAGGGAGGACGAGTGGGCGTTCCTAGGTGCAGCCTTGAGGTGGTGCAGAGGAGGCCCGCATCCCATCACCATCCATGTCCCCTTGATCATCCCTGCGCCCAGCTGTTTTCTTTCCCTTCCCCAACACAACTCACCCTCACCCCTCCTTTCCCCCTCTCCTCACCCCTCCCCACGTCTCACACTCTCCTGTTTCCTCCTCCACTCAACCCCCACCCCCCCCACCAGGTGTACGGGTTGGACATCAACCCGCGGGCGGTGCAGGTGGCGTGGATAAACCTGTACCTCAACGCGCTCTCGCCAGTGGACGGGCTGCCCGTGAGGGACAGCGAGGGCCTGTCGCTGCTGGACCGCTGCGAGTTCCTCGAATCCGACCTGCTGGGGGCGCTCTCTCAGCGCGGGGTCACTCTCGACCGCATCGTCGGCTGCATCCCGCAGGTGCTGAGGGGCTGGGGGGGATGTGTGGGTGCTGTGTGTGTCACTGCATAAGAGGCATTGTGGTGATTGGATTGTCTGCTGTGTGCTCATGTCTGTGCTCTTCTCTGTTCGTCCATTTCCAATCCTTCTCCTACTCTCTCACTTCCCCCACTTCCACTCTCTCACTTTCCCACTCACCCTCTCCCCCGTACCTCATCCCACCTTATCCCCCCCCACCAGGTGCTGACGCCCGACCCCAAGGCGGCGCTGAAGATAGTATCGGAGACGATGAGTGAGGAGTTTCTCTACTCGCTCTCCAACTACTGCAGCCTGCAGGGGTACGTCGGGGATGCTGTGGGTGCTGTGTGTGTCACTGCATAAGAGGCATTGTGGTGATTGGATTGTCTGCTGTGTGCTCATGTCTGTGCTCTTCTCTGTTCGTCCATTTCCAATCCTTCTCCTACTCTCTCACTTCCCCCACTTCCACTCTCTCACTTTCCCACTCACCCTCTCCCCCGTACCTCATCCCACCTTATCCCCCCCCACCAGGTGCTGACGCCCGACCCCAAGGCGGCGCTGAAGATAGTATCGGAGACGATGAGTGAGGAGTTTCTCTACTCGCTCTCCAACTACTGCAGCCTGCAGGGGTACGTCGGGGACCAGTTCGGCCTCGGCCTCATTGCGCGTGCCGTCGAGGAGAGCATCGCCGCCCTCAAGCCGGCAGGCGCGCTGCTGATGAACATGGGCGGCCGCCCCGGCATGGCCGTGTGCGAGCGCCTGTTCCGGCGCCGCGGGTTTGAGATCCAGAAGCTGTGGCAGACGCGGGTGTTCCAGGCGGCGGACACGGACATTCAGGCGCTGGTGGAGATCGAGAGGCAGAGCCGCCACCGCTTTGAGTTCTTCATGGGGCTCGGCATGGGGGCCGCTACCACGGGTGATGAGCCTATCAGTGCGCGGACGGCGTATGCGTTTGCCAAGGCGGGTGGGAGGATTGCGCACGGGCTCACAGTGTTTGAGTGCCGCCTGCGCCAGCCCAACCACGTGAGTGGTATTGGGGCGTGGGGGCGTGGCGTGCTGGTCCATGTCGTTGCCATCTCGCGCATCTCACACATTTGATGACTGTGTGCTCATTCAAGCTGCAATCATGCCATGCCATCCCATGCCTGACTGCCCACTCACTGACTTATTCCAGTGTGTGACCAACCCCCTCCCCTTTCCCAAAAACCCTCTTTGCCCGCCCACCAGGTGAAGGAGCTGTTCCGGTGGCTGGCGCGCCCGGAGTACGCAGCAACGCGCAGTGCAGTGGACCTCGCATTCACCTCCACCGCCGTGGCGGACGAGAAGACGCCCTTCCTCGCCACGCTGCTGCGCACGCTGCACCACGCCTCCCTCGCCCCCGCGCCCTCTGCCTCCCTGACCCCCTCGCCCCCCGCGCTGTGCCCGTCGGACGAGCCCCCTGCGGGCACGCTGCGCTTCCGCTCCCAGGTCGCCGGCTTCCTCCGCCTCTACTTCCGCGCCCCCCTCTCCGCCCAGGTGCGTGCCAAGTGAAAAGGGGGAAGAGTAGAGACCTGGGGGAGGGGGTGAGAGGGTGGGACAACAGTTGAAGGGGGTGTTGTGCTGGGAGAAGGGGGTGTTGTGCTGGGAGAAGGGGGTGTTGTGCTGGGAGAAGGGGGTGTTGTGCTGGGAGAAGGGGGTGTTGTGCTGGGAGAAGGGGGTGTTGTGCTGGGAGAAGGGGGTGTTGTGCTGGGAGAAGGGGGTGTTGTGCTGGGAGAAGGGGGTGTTGTGCTGGGAGAAGGGGGTGTTGTGCTGGGAGAAGGGGGTGTTGTGCTGGGAGAAGGGGGTGTTGTGCTGGGAGAAGGGGGTGTTGTGCTGGGAGAAGGGGGTGTTGTGCTGGGAGAAGGGGGTGTTGTGCTGGGAGAAGGGAGCTAACATGAAAGGGGAAGGGAGGGGATGAAGAGTACGGGAATGGGGATGGGTTGAAAGAGATTGTGTCACGTCAATGGTTCCTGCCCTCTCTCATTTGCCTAATCCCGCCTTCCCTTTTCTCTGCCCCCGCCTCCTCCCCTTCCCCCCCATCCTCTCTCGCCCGCCATCAGAACGTGGTGGTGCTGCCCACGAGGGCCACAGCAGTGGAGAACATTATGCGCCTCTACCTGCCCGGCCTCGCCCTCGTTGACGCCTCCCTCACTCGCCACCTCCCCCCCTCCTGGCTCGCCTCTGCCCCGCCTGATGGCCCGCCCTCAGATGCCGCCACTCACGCTCAGGTGGGCAGGTGACGTGTGGTGAGGGCAGGTGAGGTGCGGTGTGGGCAGGTGACGTGTGGTGAGGGCAGGTGAGGTGCGGTGTGGGCAGGTGACGTGCGGTGAGGGCAGGTGACGTGCGGTGTGGGCAGGTGACGTGTGGTGAGGGCAGGTGAGGTGCGGTGTGGGCAGGTGACGTGCGGTGAGGGCAGGTGAGGTGCGGTGTGGGCAGGTCACATGCGGTGTGGACAGGTCGTGCGATCAGGCAGGTGTGCTTGAAGTGAGGATGTGAGAGAATCCGACAGTCAGAGCAGAAGCTGTTGCCAAAACAGCACTCCCATACTTTCCCTCCCTCCTTCCCTTTCCCCTTCCGACTTCCTCTCCAGTTCACACTCCCCTCACACTCCCCCCCCTTCACCCCTCTCTCCCCCCACTCCCCCCCCTTCACCCCTCTCTCCCCCCACTCCCCCCCCTTCACCCCTCTCTCCCCCCACTCCCCCCCCTTCACCCCTCTCTCCCCCCACTCCCCCCCCTTCACCCCTCTCTCCCCCACTCCCCGTCCCCCCGCAGTCCACCCCAGTGGTGCTGGAGGCTCCCAGGCGCAGCGACCTGCTGCTGAAGCTGCTGCGCGCGCTGCGCCCGGCAGTGCTCATCGCAGCACTCCCCGACTTTGAGATGCGCTCGCCCACGGCGGTGCACCTGCTGCTGGCGGCCGCGGCGGAGACGCACACGCGCGTCTTCTTCGACATCTCCGACCACCTCGAGCTCTCCAGTGTGCCGCCCAGCAACGGCGTGCTACAGTACCTGGCGGAGCAGGCGCTGCCGCCCCACGCGGGGGTGATCTGCGGGCTGGTGCGCAACCAGGTGTACAGCGACCTCGAGGTGGCCTTCGTGCTGGCGGAGTCGCGGCCGCTGCTGGCGTGGCTGGCGGGCATGGGCGAGCTGACGTACTTCAGAGTGGCGCGCATGAAGCAGCTCTACTACGGCTGCCTGCTCGATGAGCTCCTCTCCTTCCAGATCCCCGACCGCCACACTGTTGCCGAGGTAGGGCAGGGGCGTCTGTCGTGCAGTGGTAGCAGGGGCCCTTTTTGTCACTCGTTCTGGGCTCTCTGTGCTTCCATCTTTCTTTGCCGTCTTATCGTGTCGTTTCATTGCCCATTCAAACTCAACCCTTCTTTGATTTCCTTTTTCCCCGCCTTGCCTTTCCCCCCACCTGTCGTGCCACGAGTGCAGCGGCCACTGCAGGACGACCCGCCGTCGTCGCCCTTCATCTCCATCCACCCCAACGCCGCGCGCGCCTTCAACCACCCCACCCTGCGCACCCTCTCCCTCACCCACGCCCTCCCCTCGCCCTCCCCCTCCTCCACCTCCGCCACCACCGGCAGCGCAGCAGCAGCAGCGCAGACAGGGGCGGACCCCACGGTGCGCATGGACGTGGGGTCGGGAGCGCTGCCAGCGCCATCAGTGGTGCAGCCGCTCGTGGTGGAGGCGTTCGTGCGGCAACACCTCAGTGACGCCGAGACCGACCCCCGTGCTGAGATCCTGCACGTGCGTGCCCCCGCACCTTCCCTCCACCATATCTCCTTTCACACTTCCGCACTTGGTTCTTCCCTCGCTCCCATCTGCCACCTCCCGTCATCTCCCTTTCCTCTCTCCTCCCCTCCACTCCCGTCCCCCTTCCCCCCCCCACCAGTTGCTGCACCGTGAGTTTGGGGTGAGGGCGGAGGGCACCACGGTGGTGACAGGGGACGGGTCGCGGGTGCTGTTTGTGCGCCTCATGGCGGCCTGTGCTGCCGAGGGCGGCACGGCAGTGTTCCCAGCGGGCTCGTACGGCACGTGTCTGGCGGCGGCACGCCTGTGTGGCTGCCAGGTCAACGTGCTGCCCGTCACCTCTGCCGAAGCGCGCTTCACACTCACTGCAGACCAGGTGCCTAGCCACGGGGCTGTGACAGGTCATCAGCCATGGGTGCTCTCCTTCCCCCTTGTCCTGATCTCTGGTTTCCTTCTGCTTCTCTCTTCCTCTCTCCCGCTCCTCTTTTGCCTCTCATTATACCCTTTCCTCCCCCTCGCCCGCCCATCATTCACTCCCCCTGCTGGCAGCTGGAGGCAGCGCTAGCAGGGGTGGCGAGGCCGTGGCTGGTGCTGTCAGCGCCGGTGGTGAACCCCACGGGGGCGCTCTACTCGCCCGCCCACCTGGCCTCGCTGCTGGCCGTGTGCATGCGCGTGGGCACGCGGATCATCCTCGACTCCGCCTTCCACTCCCTCACCTTCCACCCTCAATCCCACCTGCTCCTCGAACCCTACCTGGGCCGCACGGGGGATGACGTGGATGGGGAGGGAGAGGGAGAGGGAGAGCAGAGGGAGAAAGCACACGAGCACTATGCGCTGGTGCTCATGGGGGACCTGTCGCCTCAGGTACAACCGTTGCTGCCTCTGCCCACCCCGATAGCTCGTATCGCTTTGATTGTGAACCAGGGCTCTCCTCCACTCTCAAGACATGCTCCGCACTCCCCTTCACCACGCAAACTCAACGCACCTGCCCACCTCCATTTCCCTTTCCCCATTTCAATTCTATCTCCTGTGCACTCCTTCCCTGCAGCTGTCCACGCTGGGCATCCAGTTTGCCTACGTGGCATTCTGGGATTCGTCCTTCAAGGAGGCCCTCAGCACCGCGGTGCCACCTCATCGCACACTGCGCTTTGCTGTCAAGCGGATGCTATCCACCGAGGTGAGTCAGCAAAGGATGCGATTGACTGGCAGTGTAAGTCACAGGCCGTTGGCCCCATGGCTGCTCATGGCACCTCCATGCCACACTGCTCCTTGCAGCTCCCCCTGCCACCGCCATTGACCAATCCATCGCCTCCCATGCTGCCTTGCATTGAGTGCAGGTGGCGGCTGAGCTGGCAGGGGAGATGGCAGTACGGCGCGAGCAGCTGCAGCAGAGGGCGGACCAGCTCTGCCAGGTGGGCCCTGCACACCCTCTTGTCGCACACCCTCTCCACCGCACTCTCTCTTGCCGTGCCCCGCCATGGCCTACTCTTGCACTGTCTTGCCTTAGCCTCGAGCATCCCACTCCTCACCTGCATAGAGGCAATCACTGTTGCTGTGGGCACCCAACCAGCCATTTCACCTGCATCTCCCCAAAACTTTCGTCGGCAGGTTCTGTCAAGCTGTGGTTGGGACCCCATTCGTCCAGAGGGGGGAATATTCCTGGTTGCGCGCCCTACAGCTTACGAGGGCAAGCAGTTCACATACCAGCCGCCATCAACCAACGGCGACCAAGAGCCTCAGCCTATCACAGTCACCCTCGATAGTGTCAATATATCCGAGGCTTTGTTCTCATCGACGGGGCTGATGATCAACAACAGCGACTGGACGAGCATTCCCGGCTACTGCCGCTTCGTGCTGCTCCTCGACGACCACCGCTTCACCCTCGCCCTGCAGTGCCTGGACAAGTTCCACAAGCTGGTGATGGCCGGGTAGTTGTCAATCTTGTATTTTGAGTGCTCTGTATTGGTCAAATATCACTTTCTCGGCTTTATTACAAATATGTGTCTCGCTGTAGCTTTCGCTAAATATATATGGTTATTCCGTTGAAGCCTCGAGAATGTCACGCGAAAGTCAAAAGTTTCCCGCGCTCCCAATCCCAACCTCTGGCACCACCCATCCCCTTCCCTGCTGTAACGGCAAACCCGCTGTTCCTTCCTGGCACCACCCATCCCGCCCTTTCCGCCAAGCCACTCCTGTCGTCCTCACTACATGAGCCGCCGCCATTTTGTTCACCGTTAGCTTTTATGGATTCTCGCCTCGATTTGGCGAGATGGAAAGTTCAAAGCCTCGCTCTCTCGTGCCCGCCTCGCACGCCCCAAGGCCGTCACCATCACCCATCGACCCTCCTTGCCTTCCACTCGCCTTTCTGCGCGTCTCCGCTGCCACGTCTCACTACCTCGCCCTGTTCGCGAGCTCCTGCGCGCGAGCGTCATCTCGTTTTCTGATCGAACCACGAGGCCATCGGTTGAACACGTGTTAGTCTTCCGACAACGCAACGACGCTCGGCGCGCAGCGATGAAGGCAGCGAGAGCGCTCATGGTGGCGTCGACGGGCGGGGCGGCGGCAATATCCATGGGCCTCATTGCGCTCGCCATCTACCTCGCGCTCAGGTCTGCGCGCACCTTCCCCCCCTGCTGCTCCTTTCCCTTCTGCGCTTCCGCCATTGCGCTCAAGCGCAAACCTAGACGAACGCACATCGTTTTCTGCTCCACGCACCCATTTATCCTATCATTCTCTACGGTCCCTCACTTTCCCGTTCCCCTTTCTCCGCTCTTCCCCATGCCAGCGGCAGTGGCAGCGCGTGCGCGCAACGGTTGGACACGCCGAGCAACGTGATGGGCGCAGTGCTGCTGAGCGCGAGCATATTTGGGCTGATCGGCGCGCTGGCGCACGAGGGGTGCCTTGAATTCCTCTTCCTCTGCTGCTCCGCCGCCCTCACCCTCGCGCTCTTGGCCTACTCAGGTGAGCACCAGCGCTGGCCGAGTGCGTTGCCCCGTGTAACCGGTTATGGCTGCTCGTCTGATTCCGCCTGTTTGCCCAAAGCCCATCCACCCTTTCTCTCTTCTGCACCCACATCTGCCCCCTCACCCCCATCCCCCCCTCTGCAGCATTCGCCCTGGCAGTAACAGCGCCGTCCCCCAGCGCCATGGTGGGCGCGGCAGGGCAGGCGGTGTACGGCGTGGCGGGCTTCTCGCCGTGGCTGCAGCAGCTGGTGGCGCAGCCTGAGGCGTGGGAGGCCATGCGCACATGCCTGGTGTCCAACAGCTCCTGCCCTGCCCTGCCACCTCCTTGGGGAGATGCTGGGGAGGCGATGACAGGGATACACAATAGCAGCAGCAACAGCAGCAGTATTGCAGCTGCATCAGGTGGCTCTGGCGTGAAGAACCCATCAGTCATCCAGAGCGGCTGCTGCTTCCCCCCCGCCCCGTGCAGCACAAACACAGCTCTCTCCACGGCACCTATCCCGTCACCTGCCCCATCACCTGCGCCATCAGTCACCCTCTCACCAGCAGCACCAGCAGCACCACCTGCACCCTCCGTGGCAAAGTCATCGCACGCTGACAACCATTTGCAACCAACCATCCTGGCCACTGCTGTTCACGCCAATTCCACAGCCTTCTCGGATTGCACCAGCGCTGACCCAGGTGGTGCTGTGAGGTGTTTCAGCTGTGACACGTGCAAGGCAGCGCTCCTCAAGGTGGTGAGGGACGACCTCTCATTGGCTGGCTGTGTGTGCCTTGCTGCTGCCTGCCTGCTGGTCATGCTGCTGGTTGTGGGAGGGTATGGTCATGCTGTGTTGACGAGGGAGAGACGAGAGAAGGCGAGAGAAGAGATGAGGGAGGAGGATGATTATTCTTGTGGGAGCTTCTGCACTGGCGGTGGTTCGTGTGGAGACTGCTGTGAATGTGCACTGCTATGCTGTACTGGGTTAGCCAATTGCTTGGGTGAATGTGGTAGGTGAGGCTTTTGCAGCCATCAAATTAACCTGTAAATAATGCCGATGTTTATATGCGCTAGGAAGGCACAATTGTTTTCTAAATGGGAACGGTTCAGGGATACTACTAATTTTCCAGCATCGTATAGCGCGAATGATTCCCAGCCTGGCGTCCCTGTCGTGTAGCTCGCCCTTCCTCCCTCCTCCCTCCCTCCCTTGCCCTCGTGCTTGCCCACCCGAAATCTTGATGCCTCAGGCCGCCTGCTGTGAGGGCTGGCGGCCACGCACCAGTGGAATTCATCATCGGGCCTGCCGCAGCATTTACTGCACTCATACCGCTGCAGTGCTGCGCCATGTGCGCGCTAGTTGGTGAACCGACGGTTGTTGGGCGACGTACGGTGGGTTGAGCCGAGCTGGTCACAGGTGGTGCCACGCCATGTTCAGCGATGTGAGAGAAAGAGAGAGCATACGACGAGCGATGTTCATCCAGGTAAATCGGCTGGGGATGACGCCGCCGCCGCGGTCGTCATTCCCAGCAGAGTGCATTCACGCCGTGCTCGTCCCATGTCGTGCCATTCATAATACACGCTTATCCGCCCCACTCGTTGTTTCTAGCGTTCACTCCGCATTCTCTTGGGCTCATATCCACTCGCCCTTTCACTCGCATTCGTCTTGGCGCCATTTGAACGGTTTGGAGAGATTAGGTCAAGCGCCAAACCAGCTCGTAGCGCCAATCGAACCGTCTCAATCGTTAAAAGTCTACAGCTGTTGCGCTGTGGGACTCGACGCACATGGTGAACAAACGGTTCAGATTCAACGAAGCAGATCCCCGAAGCCGGCACTCGCAGCTGGCGAGGTTGTAGAGAAGGACGCGCCACGGGGATTCGCGGTCCGGCGTCCATCGCTGGCAGTTTAGTATAGCCATCGACAGGCGCAGTTGTGAGGCGTATTGAGGGACATTCAGGCGAATCAGGCACGAGCAAAGGACGGACGGTCACGATGAGGACGGAGAAGCTACTGACGGCGATCGCCAACACGCTCATCCTATGCCTCGCGCTCGCCCTCATCGGCGTGTCGCTCTACACCACGTGGAGCTCGCCGCCCAGCACGTGCCTGATCATGTACCAGACGCCGCTGATGGCGATCGGCGCGGCGCTGTTCATCGGCGCGCTGGTGGGGCTGCTGGCGCTGGTGTGCGACAACGCGGGCCTCGTGTGCATGCAGCTCGCCGTCTCCTTCACCGCCATGTGGGCCCTCCTCGCCTTCGCCAGTCAGCCCCCGAGCCCCCACCTCTCCCCCCCCCCACACTGCCCTCCTTTCCCCACCCCTGGCCCGTCTTCCCTCCCCCCTCCCGTATTTCTCCACTTATCGCGCCCCTATCCTCGAGTCGCAATTTGTTCCACATTCCACAGTTCAAATGCGGGCTGGTCGCTTGTCGTCGCACATTGTCGCACGCCACAGCGGCTGCATTGAATTCAATCCACATGCGAACCAGGCGGCTTCCAAACCGCAAGCAACCAAACCTGCGCGAAACAAATCCTGCGCGTATTCGCCTCTTCCCCCTCCCCTCCGCGCGCCCCTCCCCCCCGCGCAGTATTCGCGCTGGTGGTGACGGGGCCGGGCGGCGCATCAACGGAGAAGAGCCGCGGGTTCACGGTGTTCGAGCCGGCGCAGTTCAGCGCGTGGATGCAGCAGCAGGTCGCGGGGGACCGCTGGGCTCCGCTCGCCTCGTGCCTCAGCGGCGCGCGCACGTGCGGAGACGTGCGGAACTACATCGGGCGCAACCTCAAGAAAGCGCAGCTCTCCCCGCTCGAGGTAAGGGGTGAGGTGCGGGAAGCGGAAGAATGCGGGTTTGCGGGGAGGGAGTGGGGGATGGAGCGCGAGGAGCAGTGGAAACAGCCTATCGTTTCCACGCGTGACGACCGCGCCAACTGCAGAGTCAATCATTTGCTGCACCATTCTCCTCAGCTTTCATCTCACCACTCACCTACCACTCCTTCCTTTGCCCCCCATCCCTCCTCTCTGCCTCTGCTCTGCTCTGTCCCCCCCCTCTCTCCCTCCCCACCCCCCAACGCGCCTCTACTGCACCAGGCGGGGTGCTGTCTACCCCCCCAGGGCTGTGTGCTGGGCGGGCTGAACATGTCAGCGCCCGTGTACTACTCCTTCGCCTTCGACCTCCCCACCATGCCCAAGCTGCCCCTCCCCTCCGCCGACGCCGCACCCGCCGTGCAGCGCAGCACGAGCAACTGCAGCGGGTTCAGTGCGGAGCCGACCCAGCTGTGCTACAGCTGCCCGTACTGCCAGGGCGGGCTGCTCACGCTGCTGCGTGACAACCTGCGCATGGAGGCCTTTGTGGCGCTCGGCGTGTTCATCGCCGTGTTCATGCTGCTGCTCATCGCCTGCTTCGCTTACTGCGGCGCGCGCCCCGACGACGACGAGGAGACGGGCAAGGGCAAGAAGACGGAGATCAGCCTGGCCAGGCAGCAGACGTTTGTGATTGCCGATCAGCCGGCAGCGCAGCTGCTGTCCGTGCCGACCTTCCAGCGCACCCTCACCATGGGGGACGGTGGTGGCGGGCCTGCGTTCACCCGCAGTACGACCATGTGTGACAACAGCGGTGGTGGCGCTGCCGCTGCGGCGGCGTCGAATGCGCAGTTGTCGCGCACGCTGACACGCATCGAGCAGGCTCTGGGGGCGGACCTACAGCAGTTCAAACGCACCAACACCATGGCTGGTGGTGGCGGGGGGTCGGAGCAAAGGGAATTCAACCGCACACGCACGTTCCAGTCGAGTGCAGATGGGTACGCGGATGGAGGGGTCGGGAGGGATGCAGAGGGGCAGAAGGGGCGGCTGCTGGGGAGAATAAACACACTGGAGTCGTCAAAGGGGTCGAGAGGAGGCGAGCATGGCACTCACCGCAGCAACACGTCCAGGCGGGGTGAGGGGGGGTCGAGAGAGAAGCTTTCACAGAGTGGGAGGGGCAGACACCGGGACTATGATGAGGAGAGTGCGAGGGACTCGGATTACATGTCAGAGGAAGAAGAGTACTACGAGGATGAGGATGATGTGGAGGATGTTGACCTGTATGACTAGGACGAGAGCCGCCACTGGGTTACTTCTAGCGGGCACGCATTCAACAGGCATATAGCCTGGTGTTGTGATTTGTAGGAATGTTCGAATGTGTTATAACATGCAGCTGTGTTCTTGCTCATCAGTCATCTTGCTGATACCGGTTCACGAAGGATGGGTGTGTCGCGAGTTCACGTTTTTGCGGTGGGGTGCGATTACGGGTATGTGCATGTAAAGTCAGCTCTTTCACACTTCAGTAGGCTAGGGCTGAATTGGGTTCTTAGCAATACTGTACAGAACACATATGGCATGGCATAAACATAGGGGAGGTGAAAAGAGCAAAGGTGAGACGAGGCGGAAGCGACAAGAGGACACAAGGGTACACAACAAGAAGTGAGGATATGAGAGACATGGGAGGAGGCAGCAACGAAGAAGGCGGCAATACGCCCACACTCGACAGTACGACACACAGCAATACGTGCACTGCATTCCTAACCATCTTTACACAAAGACCCTCTTGCGCCAGTCCATTGTTTAGAGCATAACATACAGTAGAGTTTCTGTCATAAAGGATTGTTAAGGTCGAATTTTGAGAAATTGCTCATCCTAACGTGAGGTTCATGTTCAGACCACAGTTGTTTAACTATTCATCGTTGTTCTGGAGAGGGATTTAGCCGAGAGGTATTACACTCCTTGATGTACAACGCACTGTAATGGATCACTCCAGCTCAGCCAGGTTCAGTACACCTTGATGGCGCTTCGAAGTTGAAGGCTGCTCCACGCCAGCCACAAATTTATCAACAGGCGATAAGAATTTTGAGGGAGTCTCACTACAGATTCGCGAATCTGGGAAGGGCCATCTGCCCAGCTTGCCTCAGACTGAAAAGTCGACATGTGGTGAAAAGGTTCGAGACGCGCACCATTAAACCATCCAGTAGGTTTGCTTGAAATCTTGTTGTATGGTTGTGATGCGCCGGAAAATCTGTTAGCTGAAGGCTTTCTCGCTCCTCGTCCTTCGTGCAACGTCAGCGCAAATCCGAATAAGGCCAGCTCCGTGCAGCAGGCCCAGCGTGGCAGTGACGCTGACACCGGTACTACACTTCCCTTTTTCACGAGCCGCCATTACAGTAAAAGAGTTGGTTGCCTTGCCTTGCCAATGGCAGCCTTTTCTGAACGAATTTTTGACCACAAGTTTCTTCTGCACCAAACCCAGGCTAGGGAGGATAAGAAGAAGGTTTGGCACAAGGTTTGCTGGGAGACAGAGCAACCAAAGAGTTTCCTCGTGGGGTTGCGTTGACTGTTGTGTGGTTCAACGGAGGTCCGGTTTTAGCCTTGTGATCCAAGCCAAACTTCTCATTCCCGCAAGACTACTGCGCCTGAACCACAAGTTTTCATGTGGCCAGAATTGTCGAACTCGCTGATTTTGGGGAGCGAGCGGCTCGAGGTCGGGATGTTGTGGACGCTGGGGTTTGAGAAAAGCGAAAAAGTACCCACTTCGTTGCCACGTCGGCTAAAGACTCACTGAGGATATTTCACTTTTTCTCCGATCACTCTATCTACCGTCAGATGCGGGAAGCGTGCTCTGTTGCTTCATCGTAGCCGTTGTGGAGTGTTGTGGCTGGCACTGCCCGTCTCCCGTTAGCAACAAGCACATCTGCTTCGTTGTCAAGTCGTTGTGTTTGCTGCTCTGCTCCCCTCATCCAGCAGAGAGGCTCCTCGGGAATATCCAGAGGCACAGCAACATCAGGAATATCTGTGGACAGAAGGCTTCACAGGAGAGCTTTCCTCGCCCAAGGCCTTACTGATTCTTTGAGCCTCCAATGCAATATGTACCTAGATTTTAGACGCTGAGATGTTTTTTCTCCTAAGAACTTAGACGGTTTCGTAGCTTCGAGTCAGCGCAGGTTGATGTTTGCAAGACACTGTTACGCCGGCATCGCATTTTAAGCTTTGGAGCTATCACGATGAACATACCTCCAGCTCTCAACCTTCAGGTTCGTAGAGCTCTCGTAGATCTGTCAGGATCAAGATTTGTCTCGATGACCTAGAACGCAGCAAAGTATAGTTTGCGAATCTAGTTTTTTTCAGTAGTGTCGACAATAGGATATTTGGAACCTGCGTGAACTGGCAAGAAGCCATATTCAGGCATCTTTATTGTCTAAGAAAGCACAACCAAGTAGGTTACGAATGCACGAAGTGACGGACGAGGTAGTTCTTCAATAAACTCACTCTCGAAGCTCGTGACGCTACGCATGTCGTTATGTCCCGTCAGACATCCGCTTGGTCAGCTGGATGGACTGCTCACTCACATCAGAGCTGTCATTTGGCCAATGTTTATACATCACTCGCTAACTTAGCTGCCTCTTTTTGTGTTCTCTGCATGTCATCTCCTTCCAGAGTATGCATGATGCAGCAGCTGCCGACACAAGCGCTGCGTACTGGAGAGCCGCAGCTGCAGCCGCTGCTGCCGCGGCTGCAGCGTCGTACCTTCCGCATGGACACGGCAACGCGCACGTGGCGTCTCAGGGACCCGGTGGTGTGGGAATGACCATGCATGCGCCCAATTTCCTCATGCCACAAGCTTCCGCCGGTCACATCCGGTCGCCTGCCCCGAACGCTATCGCTGCGGGGACCATGGCTGGCCTCGCCTTCTCCTCCTCCGCTGCCGCCGCCGCCGCCGCTGCGTCCGCTGGCGCGGCGATGATGCAGAACTCGTTGTCGATGCACGCGCGCTTCTTCCCGTCTCTCCACCCGCACGCGGGCCTGACGCAGCACCACCAGCTGCACCAACTGCAGGCGGGGATTCCAGGCATGGCGACACCGCAGGTGGTGCTGGGCGCGCACTCGCAGGCATCCCTGCCGCACATGGGGCTGCTTCCCGCCCAGCAGATGGCCATGCACGGGCAGCCCGGCATGCTTCCTGGCCTGCCGCTCGCCTCCGACCCCAACTATCTCGCGGCGCACCACCTGGCCCAACAGCAACAGCAGCAGCAACTGCAGCTGCAACACGAGCAGCAGCAACAACAACAGCAAGTCGCGGTCCTGACTCCCGTTCCGCCTCCTCCTTCGGTTTTACTGGGCGGTGCGCACAAGGCGCACATGCAGGAGACGCAGATCCAGAAGCAGCACGAAGCCCTTCCAGCACAGCTGCAGCAGGTGCAGGGGTCGCAGCAACAAGAGCAACAAGCAGGCGACGCCACCAAGGGCCCAACAAACGGAGAGTGGGGGGCCAACGACGGCGACCTCGCAACCAAGGTATCTTTCGTCTATTTCTTTCGTGCCTTGGTAGGCAAAGATGCACTACTCAGTTCTCGGTGCCAACCGCTGGCAGTGCACATAGATGGTTGCCCCCTGTCAGTCTACTAATCGCTTGCGTAGACTTCTCCTGCATGGTGATGGGTGAACTGGAACGGTGGTGCGTGGTGCGCAGGTGCGGAAGCCGTACACGATAACGAAGCAGAGGGAGCGGTGGACGGAGGACGAGCACAACAAGTTCCTGGAAGCCCTCAAGCTCTACGGCCGCGCGTGGCGCCGCATCGAAGGCAAGCCCTTCCGTGCCCTCGCCCCGTCCCAACTGCCTCCCTTCTCCCTCGTCTCTTGCCCTTGCCTTCCCCTTGCCGTGCCCTTGCACTTGACCTCGCCTTGCCCTCGCGTGCCCCTGGTGGCGCCGCATCTCAGCGTGTGTGCGTGCGTGCGTTGCCCGTTGCAGAGCACATCGGCAGCAAGACAGCCGTGCAGATCCGCAGTCACGCGCAAAAGTTCTTCACCAAGGTACGCCCGCCGCCCGCCTTCCGCCTAGCTTTGTCCGCCTCGCGCCTCCCACCTCCGCCTCCTGCTTCCCGCCTTCCCTACCCGCGCCGCTGTAGCACATGCGACAAGCGCTGGTCCTTTCCGTCGCTTGGACTCCCCGTGCTGCCGTACTCAACGCGTTATCTCTGCTCCCCTTCCACTTCAGTTGGAGCGCGACGGCACCTCCGCCGCCACGTCGCAGATGGACATCGAGATCCCCCCGCCGCGCCCCAAGCGCAAGCCCGCGCACCCGTACCCGCGGAAGGCGGGCTCCGCCAGCAGCTCCCAGCCGCAGGCGCCACAGCGGCAGAACAGCCAGCACAGCCTCTCCAAGGCGCTGCAGCAGCCCGCTCCGGCTCTGCTCCCCCCTCCTCCCCCTCCTAAGGCTCTGCTCCCCTGCATGAAGCAGCTCCAGCTGCCACACCCGCCACCGCCGCCGCCTCAACCAAAGCAACGTGTGCAGCCGAACCAAGCGGCAGCAGCGCAGCAGCAGGCGGTCGCGAGAGAGAAGGGTAAACACAAGGTCCGGCAGGCAACCTCCCAGCAGCGCGCAGAGGCAGAGGAATCAGAGCCGCAGCAGCAGCGGTCGAGCAGGCAGGTGTCGCAGGGGCTGAGCTCGCAGCGCACGCAGTCGCAGACGTCGCGATCGGCGCTGCCCGTGTCGTCCGACCAGTCGTGCGGCAACCAGCGCGCCGACGACGGACAGGAGTCCAAGTACGTCTTCTCCGCCCCCCCCGCCGCCGCCGCCGCTGCCGCACCGCACAGCAACGCCAAGGCGGAGGCCTGTGCGCAGCCGCCCGTTTTCACCTCCCCCTCGCCGCTCGCCTCTCAGCGCGACGCTGCTCGTGGCGACGCGTGCGTGTCGCCGTACTCGTCGCCGCCAACGGAGGGCAACAGCGGCGCGCGGCAGTCGCCGGACCAGCGCAGCACGCTGAAGCTGTTCGGCAAGACGCTCGCCACTCCCCCCGCCATGCCACCCCCTCCCCCACCCCCAGCTGTGCCGTCCGCACCCCTGCCTCCCTCCGCTCCCCGAAGCATCAACCCTCTTGCCAGCGCGTCCGGTGCCGCTGCCGCCTCCATGTCGCCCGACGGCAGCCCTGCGCGCTCGCCGCCGCTCCACCCGCCGCTGCTCTCCCTTGCAACACCCCCCCCGGATGTTGCTCCGCCCTCTGGCGCGCAGCACTGGCGCTTCAAGCACTCGCCAGGTGAAGGCGGCGCAACCGACGCACAAAAGGCGGAGTGCAAGGAGGAGGAAGAAGAGGAGGAGGAGGAGAAGGAGGAGGAGTATGATGGGGAGGAGGAGGAGGAGGAGGAGGCGGACGAAGGACCGCCCATGGTGACGCGGTCGTTGTCGCTTCCAGAGCCGCGAAGTGCCGCCGGCCTCGCGGAGGAGTCGCAGGGGCTGTGCCTCTCAGAAAGGCCGCACGCCGCGCCAGCGGCGCACGGCGAGCGGATGGCGGAGGCAGGCGCACGAGGCCGCGCGGAGCAGCGGGGCATAGCGGTAGCGCAGCGCGCGATGCGGTCGTTGAGCGTGACGGGGCACGACGTGTCCACTTCAGCGTGCGGCAGCTTCTCTGAGCGCTCCGTGGTGCTCGAGTCGGGCCTCTCCGTCGAGCCCCACCCCGCCGCCACGCCGCTGCCCCCGCCCGCGCCGCAGCGGGCGGACCGCGGCGGAGCAGCACCGCCAGCGGCAGCAGGCGCGCACCCGATGACTCTGGGCGGTCCGCGCGATGCTGCGCGCGCTGCTCCCGGCTCTGCTGCTGGCGCCTACGGCCACGCGCAGGGCGGCGATGCAATGCGCGCGGGAGCAGCCACGGGTGCTGACGCAGGCACGGGAGCGAGCCTGAGCGTGGCACAGGCGCCGTACATGTTCGCGTTTCCTGCCGCCCCTGCCGCGCCCAACGCAGCAGCAGCCACAGCCGCAGCAGGCACGGTTGCCATTGCGGGGCTCAGTCCGCCGGAGCTCGAGAAAGCGGCCATTCCCGTAGAGGCTGGAGCGGAGGCAGGACGAGGAGAGGGGGAAGCGGCAGCGAGCGAGGCGAATGAAGGGGCAGGCGTGGGTGCGGTGGAGGGTGGTGTGGCGAGTCCCACGCACGTGGCGTCCGCGTCGGGCGTGCACATGGCGTCGCAGTGGTCGCCCTCCCTCATGTCATCCATGGCCGGCCTCTCCATGCTCAACGCTGCTGCTGCCGCCGCCGCCGCCTCCGCAGCCGGCGCCAACACTGCCGCCGCTCCCCATCGCCCCCCCTTCGACTATGGTGCCGCTGCCGCTGCCGCTGCCGCTGCAGCAGCTGCGTCAGCGCGTGGCTCCACCACTTTCCAGGAAGCAGCCACGTCGGCTCAGATGGCCGCAGCTGCCGCAATGGGCCTGCAGTTTCCCGGTTGTTTCCTGCCGGGGAGCGAGGAGGCGGTGCAGCAGCAGCAGATGCTGTTCCCGACGCCCTTCCCCTTCGTGGACTTCCACACGCCCGGCTTCCACCCCATGCACCACCCGGGCTACCTGCTCTCGCCCTACCGCGCGCCCGTGCCACACCCGCACTCAGCGGCGGCGTTCCAGACGTTCGATTCGTACCTTCGTATCTATGGTCCCGCCTTCGCCTCCATGGGCGCCTCCTCCTTCGCCGCCTGGCACGCCCCGCGCCCGCAGCAGCAACAGCAGCAACAGCAACAGCAGCAGCAGCAACAACAACAGCAGCAAACGGGCCATCCGCAGCTGTTATCCGGTACTCACAGTGCTGCGGCTGCCGCCACAGCTGCTGCATCCGCTGGTCTGTGGCCCAATCTGCCCGGCATGGCAGCAGGCCTGGCGCCGTTCCTCCCAGCTCCGGCAGCAGCAGGTGGAGCGGGCAGCCCTGCCAAGGCCATTGAGGCAGGCGCGGCAGGCGCAGTTGCAGCTCCTGTCGCTGGGCCTCCACGGTTCGCCACCGCAGCTGCACCTGCAACAACACCTGCTGCCGGCAGCGCTGCCGCTGGAACGAGCGCTGCTGCTGCTGCTGGCGCGGTCGCCGCCAATGGCGCCCCCGTGGATGCGCAACTCTCATCGCCGCCAGCGCCCCCGCGCACGCTGTCCGCGGGCGACGACCCCGCAGCAGCCGCCATGGCCGTGACCATGGCTGCGGCGTCCGCATGGTGGGCGCTGCAGGGCTCCATGCCGCCCGGCGTCTTCCTCCCCATGTCGCCCGCGCAGGCCTTCCGCCCTCCATTCAACAGCGCTCCCCCTCTCCCTGCTGGCGCCGCGGCCGCCGCTGCGATGCAGATTGGGTGGCCGGGTGCAGGGGAGGGGGAGGCAGGAGGGAACGGTGAAGGCGCGGGGACGGACGCGGCAGGTGCGGCTGGCGGTGGTCCTGGTGGCGCTGCTGGCGCTGCAGAGGCGGGCTTTGCCAATGCCACATTTGCAGCACCCGCGCAACAGCAACAGCAGCTGCAGGAGCAAGAGCAGCAGCAGTGTGAAATGGGGGGAGCGGTGGAGACGGGTGATGACGGCGGCGAGGGGTCGTCGGGCAAGGCGATTCCCGAGGGCGCGCAGGGCAAGGCGGAGGCGAACGACACCGCGTACAGCGCGTCGCAGAGCCAGGGCGGCGACGACGCCCTCGGCGACAACGACGGCGACGATGCGCGTGCGGACGAGGAGGAGGAAGAGGAAGAGGAGGAGGAGGTGGGCGGAGAGGCGGGCGAGGGGGAAGAAGAGGGGGGGTTTGTGGCGCTGGTGAGGAGCAGCGAGGTGGAGGGGCAGGAAGCGCTGCGCCTCATGGCCAGCGAGCGAGAGGCGCTCGCCGCCATGCTGCAAGGCGTCAACGCTGACGTGGATGCTGATGTGGATGCTGACGTGGACGTTCAGGAGTCACAGCAGACGGTGGTGGGGTCGTCGGCGCCGACAGGAGCCAGCAAGGCGCTGGACTCGAGCATGGGCGCGGAGCAGGGCGGCAGGCGGGCATCGTGGCACGGGCAGGGGCAGGGGGACGCGCAGGCGGAGAGGGAGGCGGGCAAGGCGCGGAGTGCAGGGGATGCGCGGCCGCTCGCGCACGGGCACCGGTCGCAGCAGCACGGGGGGGCAGCAGAGGGGCGGGGCAGGCGGCAGCGAGGGCGGGCAGGGGAGGAGTCCCGGCGATGGCGGCATGGGCCCGTGCACCGACTCGTCGCCCTCCGTGTGGGCCTCTAACTCCACCCCGCCCCACCACGCCCACGCGCACGCACCCAGGCACACCGCCAGCGGCCACGGTGGGCACGGGCACACGCCTCAAAAGGAGGCGCAGAGGAGGGCGAGCGACGTGCAGAATGGCGCACATGGCGTGGTGTTGGCAGCGGACGAGCAGCAGCGAGGCAACAACGCCCGCTACTCCACTCCCCAGCTCCCACGCAGCCCCCCTAGTGCTGCCGCCGCTGCTGCTGCAGGCATTCCTAGGCCTTTCGGCTTGCCTGCCAGTCCCACGGACAAGCGTCCTGGCGGTGGTGCTGGCGGCGCTGCTGTGAATGCTGCCACTGCCGTGGCCGGTGCTGGTGCTGCCGCTGCTGTCTCGAAGCAGGAGAAATGGAGACTGCCCCGTGAGAGAGGGCGCACGGGACATGCACAGGCGCACGAGCATGCACACGCACCGGCGCACAACCATGGCCACGGGCATGGGCAAGCTCATGCGGAGCGCAGAGGGCTCAACGCGAGTGGCGCAGCGGCGGCAGCAGCAGCGGGCGCGGCGGCGGCGGACAAGAGGGAGCAGTCGAACCTGATCCGCAAGCTGCGCTCGCTCGAGAAGTTCAAAGTCCGCCACGCCACCGCTGCCCTCACCTCCGCCACTGCCGCCGCCAGCGCCACTGGCGCTGCGACTGCGGCGGCTGACGAAGCGAGCGCGAAAATGAGCGCGTGCGGGCCCGGCATGGGCGGAGAAGGAGCGGGCTCGGGCGGAGGGGAGGGCAGTGGCGGGGAAGGGAACGAGGGGGCCACTGAGGGGCTGGGCGGAGGAGGAGAGGGGAGAGTTGCTGGTGTGGAAGGCGATGGGACGAAAGCAGGGGGAGGCGAGGGAGCAGGAGGGAAGGAGGGCGTGGAAATGGCGGGGGAAAACGAGGGGCCGCGGAGAAAGCGCCTGCGCGGACACTCGGTCAGTGGCAGCAACACACCGCCTCCCACTACGAGACAAACTCTGCCCTCCGGAGACACGCCTGTGCCGGCCGAAGGTGGTGCAGGGGAGGCAGCAGCGGCGGGAGAGGGAGCAGAGCAGCAAGGCGAGGTGCGCGCCACCCCATCGTCTTCAGGCAGTCGCGGGCAGAACGGCAACGGCGGGGGCAGTGGCAGCGGCACCAAGCACGAGGGTGGGGGCGGGCCCGAGGGCTCAGGGGAGAATGGGCCTAGCTCCAACTCGTCTGAGTGCGGCAACGAGGCGGGCAGGGAGCGGCTGGGCGGGTCCAGTGACGGCGGCACGAGCGAGCGCGAGGCGTGCAAGCGGCGCGAGCGAGACGTGTCTGAGGAGGGTGCCACTGCCAAGAGCGCCGTGAAACGACTCCCTGGCGGTGAGGCTGGCGGGGAGAGTGATGGGAAGGACGTGGAGGGGAAGGAGCAGGAGGTGAATGCGGAACGTGGCGAGGAGGAGGAGGAGAAGGAAGACGAGAACAATGAAGAGGCAGGTGCTGGTGGGCAAGCCATGGAGGCGGAGAGAGTCGCGGAGGAGGGGAAGGCGAATGAGATGGAGCGAGGTGTTGCGGTTGAGGAGAGGAGCGCCAAGCGGAGGAAGGTGGTGGCAGCGGGTGCAGGCGAGGAGGGGTGCTCGCGAGTGGTGGGCGGGGCACCTCAGGGCAGCAGTGCACCCACTGCAGGCAGCAGGTCACACACGCCCCTCAGCCTCTCCACCCCGCACGCCCTGCTGCTGGGGCTGGACGCCCGCCATGCAGGCACGCGTGCCGAGGGCCAGCAGCACAAGGAGGGCGGCGGCGACACCAACACTGCTGACGGGCTGGAGCAACTGCAGCTGCTGGGGAAGAAGCGCATTGGGGTGGTCAGAGGAGTGAGTGGTGGTGCGCGCAAGGGCGAGGAGGGCGAGGAGGGGTCAGCGAATGAAGCGAGAGGCAGTGCTGCTCGGCCTGGGCGCACGGAAACGTCTCAAGTGGTGGGCGCCGGGCGCCGCGAGCTGAGAGGCGACGGCCAGTCCGTCTTTCGACCGCTGCCCATCCTCCCCCCCAAGGTGACGCCCCCACATGCCCCTCCTCGCCTCCTCCCCCCTCCCCCCTCCAAACCTGTGGCCCCACGTGCGTGTGGGGTCGCGCAGGGGGAAGGCCCTCAGTTGGTTGCTGCTGCTGCTGGCGTTGCCGCTGGTGGCGGTGGCGGTGATGATGGTGGTGGTGAGGCCGTGAAGGGTCAGGAGGGAGAGGAGGCACGTGCGGTGGTGAGAGTGGAAGCGGAGGTGGGAGGGCAGAAGGAGCAGGGCGAGATGAGACAGCAGCGGAGAGGCAAGGAGAAGCGGGCATCGAGTGGTGGGGAGGCGGTGCGACAGGAGAGTCGCAAGCATGGGAGGGACGAGAGTAGGGAGGGAGAGGAGTGGATGACTGACAGGAAGCAGCAGCATGTGCACCAGCACCAACACCAACACCAGCAGCAGCAGCCGGCGAGCAGCAGCGGCGCGGCGTCGCTGCTAGCAGGCATGCGCATCGTGGGTCCATCTCTGCCCATGCCGTCATCCCCCACGGGTGACCCATCGTCCAGCAACAGTGGGGGAGCGGGAGTGCACCACCACTTCCACTACCACTACCACAGCGCTGGCAGCAGCGCTAAGCACCGGCCCTCCTCTTCCACCAAGCAACCCACCACTACTGCCGCCGCCGCTGCTGCTGCCATCGCAGCTGCTGCTAAGGTTGAAACCATTGCCTCTGCTGCTGCCCCTCCTGCCGCCCTTAGCGCTCCCTCAGGCCCGGAAACCCCGAGCCTGAGGTCTGGAGAGGGTGGGGAGGGGTATGGGGGGATGGTGCAGTGCAGCAAGGGGGAGAGCAGTGACGGTGGGGAGGGGGAGGGGAAGGAGGGGGCGGGTGGAGGAAGGGGTGGGGAGAGCGGTGGTGGCGAGGACAATGCGATGGCTGATGAGGAGAGAAAGACAGCTGCCTTGCTGCAGGTGTGCTCCATGTGCCCCCTCCCCTTCATTCTCTGCCGCCCCTCTCTATTGTTCCCTTCTCTCACCTCCCATGCCCCTCACATTCTCCCTTTCCACTCATCTCTCTTTTCCCCTCTCTCCTCTGCTATTCCTTTCCTCTGCTGCACGTCCACAGGCTGACGCACGGCACCCATGGAACACGGAGAGTGTTGCGGGCATGGAGCGGCAGTGCAGAGAGCAAGGGCCCGGTGATATCACGGAGCGGTTAATGCGCAGTGTGGGTGGTGACGGGGCAGGCAAGCACAGCGAGCGGCACCGGGCGCGGCAGTACGAGCACAAGCAGCAGAGCGCTCACCGCTTCCACCCGTACAGCCCTCACAAGGAGCGCTCCGAGCAGCGCAGCGCCCCCGCCTTTGGCGCCACTGCTGCTGGCCTGCCCCCCACAGAGGCCAACGTTGACATGGGCGAGGGTGAGGCCAAGCAGATTCAGCAAGCCTGAATGATGCGATGAGATGATGAAATGGGTTGGGATGTGATAGGGAGCATTGGAGATGGCAAGGATGATGAGTGCAGGCCTGAATGGGTGTGTGTGTCTAATTCGTTGACAGGAATGAAAAGGTTGCCTGTGCTGGTGTACCATTTGCAGGCTACCTATCTTAGGCTAATATAGGATGTGTGCTTTGACACTGTTAATTATTATCTTGTTTAATCATTTTAATGTAAGGGTATTGCACTCTTAATATATGTTCACTGCAACAGCGCTCCAAAATAACAATGTTGGTGCAAAGCTAACTAGTTAGCAGGACACATAGTGCATATGAGTACTGCTACGCAAGGGTCTGCTAGGTAGGACTACCGTATACAAGTGGAGATGCATGTGCTGGAGGGCGGGGGGAGGGGGCCCTTGATGAGCTGTTTGCAAGGAGGGAGTGACTGTCCCCATGAAAGACAAGCTGTTGCTTACACTTGGCTGCTCCACCTGTTACACGTCTGCCACTAATATTTTACGAGCCGCTTTGGCACACTCTTACAGTGAGTAGCAAAATGCTGATGCACGCTGTAGTTACATCCTGTCATACAAAGTTGCAGAGAGGGTTTCAAGGAAGGTCCTCTGAGTCGCCTGGCGGAACCACCTCTTGAGGTGCTGCCACAGGCCGTCGCACGAAGTGGGCCAGGAACTCCACGTTGCCATCCGTGCCCGTTATCGGTGACGTCATCACCCCCTGCACCTCCATTCCAAACTCCTCTATACCGCGCGTCACTCTTTCAAGCACCTGCAAACATCAACATGCACAAAACAACACCGAAACACAAAGGGAAAAGAGGGCAGAACTAAAGTGGAAAAGAGGAGCACATCAAACATTCTGGAGTCAACACATGGCATGGCAGGCATGAAGGCGGTGTGATGAGGAGCACATGCGGAGCGCTGAGGCCGGTGCTGAGGCTGCTGCGGCAAGGGCTGGGGCTGCACGCACCTCCTGCCGCACGGCCTCGATGCCCCCTCCGCCCACCTGCCCTCGCCGCGCCTCAAACTGCGGCTTGACAAGCACTATGAGGTGCGCCCCCGGCTTCATCACCCCCACCACCGCTGGCATCACCTGCCATGCAATGTGGGACACGGCAGGCGGATGGGGTGGATGGGGATGCATGGGCGTGAGAGGGTGGGGGGGATGCATGGTGGCGTGGGGGGATGTGAGGATGCTGACGAGTAATGTCGGGATGAGCACTGAGCAGGGAGGCAAACCAGGAGTTGCATTCATGGCGGCATGGGAGAGGATGGAGACGGAAGAGCGGACGAGGGTGGTGGCGGATGGGGAAGAGAGCAGAGCGCAGAGTGCAGAGCGCAGAGTGCAGAGCGCAGAGTGCAGAGAGCAGAGCGCAGAGCGCAGGGGGCGTACGAGGAGGACGGAGATGAAGGAGAGGTCGAGGGTAACCACGTCCACTTTCTCCGGCAAATCAGAGGGCGACAGGTGGCGCAGGTTGGTTCGCTCCATGACCACCACCCGTGGGTCAACTCGGATACGCTCACTCACCTGCCATCATGCACCCCGCACACTCACATCACACACTCTCACACCCACGAATCCACACACACATGCTCATTCCCACTCACACACACACGAGGAGCATGCACGGACACAAATATGCATGAGAGTGGGGCACGGCAAAGCAGCGAATGCCAACAAGTAGAGGTGCGTGAAATCCACTCACTATCACTCCACCTGCCCACAACCGACCTGCCCACAACCCACCCGCTCACATCCCACCTGGCCGCACCCCACCTGGTCGCACCCCACCTGGCCGCACCCCACCTGGCCGCACCCCACCTGGCCGCACCCCACCTGGCCGCTGTCAACGGGAGTTGTCGTTGTCCCCGTCCTCGCTTGGGCGGAGCCGACTTCGTGGTTGGGTGTACGGGAGGTACAGCCGACTTGTAGCAGTGGTCGACGGGGTTGGTCGACTTGCACGGGGCCACTGCAATGCCGCCGACTTGGGAAGTCGGCGGCCGACTTCAACTGGTGGTCGGCGATGTGGCACGTCGACCTGGAAGTCGGCGCCGACTTGCAAGGTCACCGACTTGCAAGGTCACCGACTTGCAAGGTTACCGACTTGCAAGGTCACCGACTTGCAAGGTCACCGACTTGCAAGGTCACCGACTTGCAAGGTCACCGACTTGCAAGGTCGCCGACTTGGGAGGTCGCCGACTTGGGAGGTCGCCGACTTGGGAGGTCGCCGACTTGGGAGGTCGCCGACTTGGGAGGTCGCCGACTTGGAGAGGTCGGCCCAGAAGTTGGCGCCGACTTCAGGGAGGTCGACCTGGAAAGTCGACCTGCGGAGGGCGTCGACTTGGTGACGCCGACTTCGGGTAACCGACTTGGGTGGTCGGCTGACGATTGTGCTGGTCGACGTGGAGCTGGTCGACCAGGAGTGACGTCGACCTGGAGCTGGTCGACCAGGGGTGTGGTCGACCTGGTAAGGTCGCCTGGAGGTGGCCGTCGACTTGGGAGGTCGACGGGCACATACAGGAGCACCTGGTCGACCTGGTTGCCCGGTCGACCAGGTTACCTGGGTGACGAGGTTCTGCGAAAGAGTGCGACGGTCGCCCAGGCGATGTTGGCGAGACTGACCTCGGTGGTGGTATCCCGAGGTCGACGTGGCGGATCAGGTGGAGTCGTCAGCACGAAGATGACACGGTGTGTGCGTTGTGCAGGTGACAAGGCTTAGCCCGCCAATCATCTGCGAGCACCTGCGAAGTAGGTGCGCTGCTGTTCTGCGGGAGCAACGCTGGCACGCCGTCAACCTGCAGCGTTGGCACGCCGTCGACTTTGCACCGCTGGAGCGCGGTCGACCAAGTCGTGCTGGAACTCGGTCGACCATGCTGTGCTGGCAGTCGACCGACCTGAATGCTAGCTCTGATGTAGTCTTGCCATGCCAACTTCATTGTACTATTGTTGTCAACCTTCTTTAGTGAAACTCTTGCCAACTTGCCCCGTGAACTAGCAAGCAGTCTGTGCACTAGGAAAACGACTAAGGACCAACGAACGCAGAGATCACACGAGCACCCGTGCCTAGCCCGTCTCCGCAGCCGCACCCCACCTGGCCGCACCCCACCTGGCCGCACCCCACCTGGCCGTACCCCACATCGACGCCGTACACGCGGGCAGCACCATGCTGCAGCAGGCAGTCCGCGAAGCCCCCCGTGGACAGCCCCGCATCCAGCGCCACCGCCCCCCCCACCGCCACCCCCCACTGCTGCAGCGCGCCCTCCAACTTGTACCCCGCCCTGGGGGGAGGGGACGAGAAGAAGTTTGGGTGGGGAAAGGAGAGATGGGGAGAGGGGATATGAGGGAGCGCTTTCAAGGGAATGGAGTGCGCTGCAGTTGAGTTACAAGGTGCTGCCTGCACAGTGAGCGTGGAACGCTGCAAGGCATGAAGGTGTGAAGCTGGCGGAGTGGTGTGGTGCGGTTGGAAGGAGAAAGAGCGGAGTGGCGGCAGCAGAGGTGGGGGGGGAGGGAGGGCTAGGCTGACCTGCACACGTATTTGGGCACGCGGGCCTTGATGATGACGTCAGCGTGCTCTGAAACCTGCGCGCCCGCCTTGGTGACTGGATGCCCCTCCACCAACACCTTGCCTGGCGGGGGAAGGGGGGGAGGGGGAGAAGGGAGCGTTGTAGGGAAGAGACGAGGCCGAGAAACGGGAGCAAGGGAGGGGGCGGTTGTGAAAGAAAGGGGACTGTGGGAGGGGACTGTGGGAGGGGACTGAGGGATGGGACTGTGGGAGGGGACTGAGGGAGGGGACTGTGGGATGGGACTGTGGGAGGGGACTGGGGGAGAAACTACGGAGAAATGCACAATGAATGGACCTTTGCCCCCCAACTTGCAAAGAAACCGAGAAACCGGGATACCGGGAAACCAGGAAACAGGGAAACCGGGAAACCGGGATACCGGGATACCGGGAAACCGGGAAACCGGGATACCGGGATACCGGGAAACCGGGAAACCGGGAAACCGGGAAACCGGGAAACCGGGAAACCGGGATACCGGGAAACCGGGAAACCGGGAAACCGGAAACCGGGAAACCGGGAAACCGGGAAACCGGGATACCGGGATACCGGGAAACCGGGAAACCGGGAAACCGGGAAACCGGGATACCGGGATACGGGGAAACCGGGAAACCGGGAAACCGGGAAACCGGGATACCGGGATACCGGGATACCGGGAAACCGGGAAACCGGGAAACCGGGAAACCGGGAAACCGGGAAACCGGGATACCGGGATACCGGGATACCGGGATACCGGGATACCGGGAAACCGGGAAACCGGGATACCGGGAAACCGGGAAACCGGGAAACCGGGAAACCGGGAAACCGGGAAACCGGGAAACCGGGAAACCGGGAAACCGGGATACCGGGATACCGGGAAACCGGGAAACCGGGAAACCGGGAAACCGGGATACCGGGATACCGGGAAACCGGGAAACCGGGAAACCGGGAAACCGGGAAACCGGGAAACCGGGATACCGGGATACCGGGAAACCGGGAAACCGGGAAACCGGGAAACCGGGAAACCGGGAAACGGGGAAACCGGGAGACCGGGAGACCGGGATACCGGGATACCGGGATACCGGGATACCGGGACACCGGGACACCGGGACACCGGGAAACCGGGAAACCGGGAAACCGGGAAACCGGGAAACAGGGAAACCGGGAAACCGGGAAACCGGGATACCGGGATACAGGGATGGGACTGTGGGATGGGACTGTGGGAGGGGACTGTGGGATGGGGCTGTGGGAGGGGACTGTGGGAGAAACTACTGAGGAATGCGCAATGAATGGACTTTTGCCCCCCAACTTGCAGGATGCAGGAGCGCACCTTGCAGGATCCAGGAGCGCACCTTGCAGGATCCAGGAGCGCACCTTGCAGGATCCACGAGCGCACCTTGCAGGATCCACGAGCGCACCTTGCAGGATCCACGAGCGCACTTGGCTGCGGCTGTACTGCGCCCACCGCGCCACACACAGCTCGTCCAGCCGCACCCGTTTCCCGCGCCTCCGCGCCCCGCCCTTTCCGCCTCCCGTTCCGCCGCCGTGGCTCCGCCCCACCTCCGCCTCCGCGGCTATATCCGCGCCAGCATCGCCGCCTTGGCGCAATGCTGCTGCTTCCGCGAGGACTGGCGGGTCTCCTCGCGCTTCCCCTCGACCCACCTCCTCTCCCCCTCTCTCCCCCTTCCCTACTTCGTCCCCCGCTGCCTCCGCACCTCCGCTCACCGCCAACGCCCCTCCATCTGCCCCCGCCCTCAAAATTTCTACTTTTCGACTCCGTCTGCCTTCCGCGGCATGCCCCTCTGCGAGAACAGGGCGCGGAGGCGCGGAAGAGAAACTGCGGAGAGCTGCGGGTGGGAGGATTGCGAGGCGGAGATCGGCCGGAGGAATGGGGGAGCGCGGCGCAGACGAAAGCGATGCGCGGAGCGTGAATGGAAGCCTCGCGGCGGCAACGGGCGCAAGATGAAGAACAGGCGGCATGGTTGATGGGTTGACGTATCTACTAGGATGGTGCCACGTGTGCTGCTGATGGTGGTTGGGGAAGCTGACTGGGCGATGGCACGTGTGCCACGCTGAGTGGAGGCGAAAGAGGAGCTCCTCGCGAATGGCGAGAGAACGGGGGGGCGGCGCGAGAAGCTGCAAGCGAAACAATAGCACCATGGCACGTCACGAGGAAAGGAAGCACTCCCACTGTCGCTGTTTGTGAGTGGGGGGGAATGTGATGGGAAGCCAATTTGAAGGGTTGGTGATTTTGCACGCATTTGGTACCAACAATGTTCACTGTAAAATTGTGGATGTACAGCGGGAACTTTTGTATCGAGTACGAACAAGGGACAAACTCGCCCTTTCAGATTCGAATTTCCTGAAGATCCGTTCCACCAAGTCGCCCCTCGCACAACATCATCCACCCCAATCCCTAGACTCACCACCGTCCACCTTGCGCAATTCCACATGCTCTGCTTCCCCACCAAGTCGCTTTCGCCTCCTCGCGCACTCGCACCGCAGGTTCCCCCTCTCGCCTCCACAGCCTCCCGTTGCGCTTCCTTCCGGAGAGCAATCGTCGCTCCTCCGTCGTCCACGCGTCGCCGGCGACCAGTGCGACTCATGGCGACCGCAGCGCCGGCATCGGTGCCGGCAATCCGTCTGTCGAGCGGCTACGACATGCCGGTGGTGGGGATGGGCGTGTGGCGCGCCGACAAGGGCCGGCTCGGCGCGCTTATCAAGGACGCCGTTGCACTCGGGTACCGCCACTTCGACTGCGCGGGTGCGTGCATGCCGCGCTGCACGGGGGAACTTATTGCGCGAGGATAGGGCGCTACAGCCGGGCTCAGTGCGCCACAGTGGGCTCAGCGCGCTACAGTCCTTGTGCTTGAATCAATCCCAGTCTCAAGCCGCCCCTTCTTCCTTACCCCTTACCTTGCCTATGCTTCCCCTTCCCCTCCCCATCCCCTTCCCTCCCCCTTCCCCCCGCGCCAGCGGACTACGGCAACGAGGCGGAGGTGGGGAAGGCGCTATCCGCGGTGCTGGAGGCAGGCGCGGTAAAGCGCGAGGAGCTGTTTGTGACGAGCAAGCTGTGGAACAGCGACCACGCGCACGTGAGGGAGGCGTGCCAGCAGTCCCTGAAAGACCTGCGCCTGGACTACCTGGACCTGTACCTCGTGCACTTCCCCATCGCCACCAAGCACACCGGTTCGTCTGTTGCCCCGCGCACGCGAGCGTGAATTGTTGAGGCGCGTTGTGGGCAGAGCTGGGGCGGGTCATGGGAGCAGGAGAGGGAGGGAGAGTTTAAGAGGCGGAAGGGCAGCGGGGAGCGGGATGGAGAAGGGAAGACGGAGAGGGCGGCAGTGTGTGAGGGTAAAGAGCTGTGCGAGTGAGAGGACGGGGGAGTCCAGGAGTGAGTGCGGCTTGCTGCAACCCAACCATGGCCCTGCTCTCAATCTCTTGCATCTGTACGTGGGTGGCATGGAATCGCATGGAACGGCATGGCATGGCATGTGATGGCATGGCAGGGATAGGCAGCACGCGCAGTGCGATGGGGGAGGATGGCGTGTTGGACATAGACATCTCAGTGCCGCTGCATGAGGTGTGGCGCCACATGGAGGCGCTCGTTAAGGACGGCCTCGTGCGCTCCATCGGCATCAGGTGCGCTCCATCGGCATCAGGTGCGCTCCATCGGCATCAGGTGCGCTCCATCGGCATCAGGTGCGCTCCATCGGCATCAGGTGCGCTCCATCGGCATCAGGTGCGCTCCATCGGCATCAGGTGCGCTCCATCGGCATCAGGTGCGCTCCATCGGCATCAGGTGCGCTCCATCGGCATCAGGTGCGCTCCAGTCCAGAGCTCCAGTCCAGAGCTCCAGTCCAGAGCTCCAGTCCAGAGCTCCAGTCCCGAGCTCCAGTCCCGAGCTCCAGTCCAGAGCTCCAGTCCAGAGCTCCAGTCCCGAGCTCCAGTCGGCACGGCACGGTGGTGCATGACATGGATAGAATCGAAGGGATGTTTTCATAGCTCGCCCTTAGTTTTCCACTCCCCCGCACTGCTTCTAAGCCTCATCTCTCTGCCTCACACTGCTTACTTCTCCCTTCAACAACACCCCGCCCCCCGCCCCTTGAACCCCTGCCTTTCCGTCACTCACAACCCCACCTTCCCCGCCCCCATGTGACTCCTCCCACAGCAACTACGACGTGTATCTGACGCGCGACTGTCTGGCGTACAGCAGCGCAGTGAGGCCAGCAGTGAACCAGGTGGAGACGCACCCCTACTTCCAGCGCGCCTCGCTGCTGCGCTTCTGCTCCAAGCACGGCGTCACCCTCACTGCCCACACGCCCCTGGGCGGCGGCGCTGCCAACGAGGAGCTCTTCAAGTCCAAGTCCCCGCTCTCCGACCCCGTTGTGCTCGTGCGCTCCCTCTCACCCATTCTTGCTTCATGCCTTTCCTGCTGCAGCTTCGTTCTGAATGTGCTTCTGATTTGAGAATGTCTCTATCATGTTCTACTCCTGCTGCTCTGCGCTTATCTGCTGCTTGGCCTTTCCTATGTGTGTGATGTGATTTCGTGCTCAGGAGCTGGCTGCAAAGCACAACAAGACAGCGGCGCAGGTGGTGTTGCGGTGGGGAGTGCAGCGCAACACGGTGGTGATACCCAAGTCCAACCGAGTGGAGCGCCTGGCAGAGAACATAGCCATCTTTGACTTTGAGCTCGATGCTGGCGACATGGCCCGGATGGAGGGCCTTGACGCAAAGGCTAGGAGCAACAACCCGGCTCCCTTTTGGGGCATCGATTTGTATGCTTAGGAAGAAACGATTCGTTCTGTGTGTTCAGGCTTTGCTAGGGTACCTTTTGGCTTGCGGTCCAGCTTCTCGTCTGGTTATTCGAGGCTCCACGTCTTGTCAACGATCACCAGGCAGCCCCCACATCCTCATCTGGGCTCAGCAACACCTCCATGGCATCACTGCTTGTGTGTCAGCTAAGGCAACAGGTTGGGGTGGGAGGTGCAGGTGAGAGCAGGAGAAGTGGAGAGGCTAGGTAGCATAGAAGGGACTAGGCTGTGGACTCATAAACCCTCGGCAGCACCAGTAGGCCTATATGCACACCTTCCCACCACCACCCCTTCCTGTACCTGCAGAGGCAGGCAGAGGAAGATGGGCAATTAACATGATGGCAACAATAGGACATGTTCCTACGGCCCCTTATCAGGCCAACCTCTTACTATCAGGCTCGCATCACAACACACTGAAATTTCCATAAACTCAGAAATCTTCGCAATTTTACCAGGTATAAATGCGAAGCTGATACGAGGTGTGGCCGTAGGATCATGCCCTTAGTGGCTCTTGGTCACTGATGATATTGCTCTGCAATGTTAGTTCTGAGTTGTGATCCTGATATGTGTTTGACAGAATCTGATGGCGTTGCAACTAGCACCCTTTCCGATAAGTTACTTTCACAAGGTTTCATTTCTTCTGTTTAGTTCCCGTATTTCCCCATTTTCCCAATCACCACCAGCCTAGTCTTCTATTTGAGCTGTAGTCATTTTCTAGGCTTTCCAATCGAATCTATCCGCGATATCCGGCTTTAGGCTAGACCCCTTTCCGATTAGTTTAGGCGAAGCCTGCATCGGCCCAATTCTGGCATTCGTCAGCACGTTCAATGACGTCAGTTGTGAATATCTCCGAGATCGACGGCTGTATACGGTCCTGATAGATCCGACGTTGCAGAAATTGCCAACCTGGGGGCGAAGTGAACCTCGCTAAAAGGGCGTCTCGGTAGCACCAGTGATATTCTATCCTCCGCCTGGTACTCCCCCTATAAATGTTGCTTGATTTCCATTCACAATTCCACACATTCGAAGTGGCCTTTCCTTGGCTTTCGCCTTCGACTGGTCTCATTTTCCTCTCTGACTATCTCCCCCTTTCCTTGGCGCGCCTCTCTAACTCCGCAAACCGAGTGAAGGTTGCGTCATCCCCTAATCCGCGCGCACCGCTCCATCGACGTCCAGATGGAGACCATCAGAGCGTCCGCTCTGCGCGCCCCCGCGCTCTCCCCCGCGCCAGCGCAGGAGATCAGCTCGCGCGCCTTCCGCGCCGCTCAACCCGTCGCCACGCGAGTCACTCGACCTCGCCGCGGCGCCAGAACCGCCGCATTGCGCGGGCTGGGCGTGCGGTCAGAGAGCGGCGCGGCGGAGACGGAGAGCTCTGCGACGGCGGCGGGCGGCGAGGGGAAGGCGCTGAACCGATGGAGCTCGCGCATCACGCAGCCCAAGTCGCAGGGCGCGTCGCAGGCGATGCTGTACGGCGTGGGGCTCACCGAGGCCGACATGCACAAGGCGCAGGTGCGCAAGGGGGGGAGTGGGCGGAAGGAGGGGGGAGGAAGGGGTGTGGGGGAGCTTTGGGAGGATGACATGGGCGAGGCGCGCGGAGGCAAAGGGAAGGAGGAGGAGATGCTAGAGGAGAGCGACGAGGTGGAGGAGACGAGAAAGATAAAGGAACGGAGTGGCTCATGGCCTCGTGCCTAAAACCCCGCTTGTCCCCCACTCGATAGCGTCGGTAAAAATTCTGACCTTTGAAAAGAGGCTGTTGTAGTGGCGATGCTCCACCCAACGCCCAACGCCCTCTGCGCGACTGTAATGTCGGCCTAAAGAATCCGCATTGTGCCCCATCGCCATCACCATCATCACCTCCCCATCCCCTCCCCTTCATCACCTCCACATCCCCTCCCCTATCCCTCCTTCTCTCCCCCAACCCGCTTCCGCCCCGCCCTCCTTCCGCGTGTGGCGGCAGGTGGGGATCTCGTCGGTGTGGTACGAGGGCAACACGTGCAACATGCACCTGCTGGAGCTGGCGGAGGCCGTGAAGGGCGGCGTGACGGACGCGGGGCTGGTGGGGTTCCGGTTCAACACGATCGGCGTGAGCGACGGCATCTCCATGGGCACGGACGGCATGAGCTACAGCCTGCAGTCGCGCGACCTCATCGCGGATAGCATCGAGACGGTGATGGCGGCGCAGTGGTACGACGCCAACATCTCCATCCCCGGCTGCGATAAAAACGTCAGTCGCAAGAGGGGGGGGAGGCATGGCGGGGTGACGGGCACTTGACGGGCATGGGGTTGATTGGAGTGGGGATGGCTGGTGATTGGAGAGAATGCACGTGGAGCGGCGATGGGACGAACACGTGGAGTCGTGGGGCACTGTGCAACGTGACAGTAGTGGGAGAAGATGGGGATTGTGGACCAGGATGTTCCACGCAGTTTAGTGCGGCGCAGTGCGGTGCTCCCATGTGATGTGCCCTCGCGCTCCACCCCATCATGCGCTTGCACCCATGTCCTCATGCCATGCCATGCCATGCCACCCCACCATGCCATGCGTGTCCCCATCAGATGCCCGGCACGGTGATGGCGATGGCGAGGCTCAACCGACCAGCCATCATGATCTATGGCGGCACCATCAAGGTGGGCCGTCTCATGCATGCACGCGCCAGGGCCGAGCCAATGGTCGGGCCAGTTCGTGCTTCGTTTTCATGCTCTTCAATTTGAGTTATGCGCCCCACCCCCCTCACCCTCAGTCATTCTCACCCCCCATCTTCACCTCATCCCCCAAAATCCCCTTTGCTAAACCTTCCCCCCCCCCCCCCTGCTTCTTGAACCCCCCTTTCCCATTGTCCCTCACCACCACACACCACCACTTCCAGCCGGGCCATTTCGAGGGAGCCACCCTTGACATCGTCAATGCCTTCCAGGTACGCCCTCCCTCTCCCTCCCTCGCCCTCCCTCGCCCTCCCTCGCCCTCCCTCTCCCTCCCTCGCCCTCCCTCTCCCTCCCTCGCCCTCCCTCTCCCTCCCTCGCCCTCCCTCTCCCTCCCTCGCCCTCCCTCTCCCTCCCTCGCCCTCCCTCTCCCTCCCTCGCCCTCCCTCTCCCTCCCTCGCCCTCCCTCTCCCTCCCTCTCCCTCCCTCTCCCTCCCTCTCCCTCCCTCGCCCTCCCTCTCCCTCCCTCGCCCTCCCTCTCCCTCCCTCGCCCTCCCTCTCCCTCGCCCTCCCTCTCCCTCGCCCTCCCTCTCCCTCGCCCTCCCTCTCCCTCGCCCTCCCTCTCCCTCGCCCTCCCTCTCCCTCGCCCTCCTCTCCCTCGCCCTCCCTCTCCCTCGCCCTCCCTCTCCCTCGCCCTCCCTCTCCCTCGCCCTCCCTCTCCCTCGCCCTCCCTCTCCCTCGCCCTCCCTCTCCCTCGCCCTCCCTCTCCCTCGCCCTCCCTCTCCCTCGCCCTCCCTCTCCCTCGCCATCCCTCTCCCTCGCCCTCCCTCTCCCTCGCCCTCCCTCTCCCTCGCCCTCCCTCTCCCTCGCCCTCCCTCTCCCTCGCCCTCCCTCTCCCTCGCCCTCCCTCTCCCTCGCCTCGCCCTCCCTCTCCCTCGCCCTCCCTCTCCCTCGCCCTCCCTCTCCCTCGCCCTCCCTCTCCCTCGCCCTCCCTCTCCCTCGCCCTCCCTCTCCCTCGCCCTCCCTCTCCCTCGCCCTCCCTCTCCCTCGCCCTCCCTCTCCCTCGCCCTCCCTCTCCCTCTCCCTGCCTCTCCCTCGGCCTGCCTCTCCACTCTTTTCCCCTGCTGTCGTGTTGAGTTATCCCCCCCCTCTTTGCTCGTCTCACCCCTCTCCCGTCCTCTTCTCCCTCTCTATGCATCCCCAACACCTCCCCACCCTTCACAGAGCTACGGCGAGTTTGTGGCGGGGAGGATAACGGAGGAGGAGAGGCAGCAGGTGGTGCGCCACTCGTGTCCGGGGCAGGGCGCGTGTGGCGGCATGTACACCGCCAACACCATGGCATCCGCCATCGAGGCGCTGGGGCTCACTCTGCCCTACAGGTGTGCCTCGCCTTCCCCTCCCTTCCCTCCCTTCTTTTCTTCCTACTCTTCCTTCCCTTCCTCCCCTTGCTGCCTCCCAACTCCGCCTTTCTTTTTCAAAGTTCCCCCACACACCCATCGCTCCCCCATTCTTCCGCTCCCCTAATTCTCCCCTCAGCCCACACCGCCCTCCTCCCCCTCAGCTCGTCAACCGTCAAGCTGACTCAAACCCCTCCTCATGCACCCCTCCTCTCATGCACCCCATCCCCCCTCCACACCCCCTTTTTCCCCCTCACAGCTCGTCCATCCCAGCGGAGGACCCATTGAAGCTGGACGAGTGTCGCCTGGCGGGGGCGGCCATCAAGTGGCTGTTGGAGCTGGACGTGAAGCCAAGGGACATCATCACGCGGGAGGCGCTGGAGAACGCCATCACCACCGTCATCGCCCTGGGCGGCTCCACCAACGCCGTGCTGCACCTCATCGCCATCGCCCGGTGAGAAGAAATAGGGTACGGGGACAGAGGGTGAAGGCTCTGCAAGGCTTGGGGACGGCTGCACCTGCTGGAGCTGGTTTACATCATTGCCACCACGCCGTCAACTCTCGTTCCGCCCTCACCAACCCTGCACCCCTCACACACCTCTCTCCTCTCTGCCCCTCACACCCTCTTCTCTTTGCGCCTCAGCCTCCTACCCTCGATCCCCCGCTGCCAAATCCTCCGTAGTCTCTCGGATGCCTCAACAATTGCACCTCCTGTTCTCCTCTTCGCCATCTCCTGCCCTTCCCCCCCCTCTCATGCAGGGCGGTGGGGCTGAACCTGACGTTGGACGACTTCCAGGCCATCAGCGACCGCGTGCCGTTCATTGCTGACCTCAAGCCCAGCGGCAAATACGTCATGGAGGACGTGCACAAGGTGGGCGCACAGCGGTGCAGAGGGATGCAGAGGGGTGCAAAGAGTATAGAGCTCTTGTGGCTTGATTTTTTTATCCCACCCATGGCGCACCCATGCATCGTCATGCATCCACCAGAGCCCACCTCTGCCCATGCTGGACTCATGCCCGCCTGCCCCCCTGCCTGCTCGTGCTGCTGTGCCTGCCCTGCCCCCCACTGTGTGGTCAGATCGGCGGCACGCCAGCAGTGCTCAAGTACCTGCTGGAGAAGGGGCTGCTGCACGGGGACTGCCTCACCGGTCAGTGCTTGCTGCTGCATGGTGCATGGGGTGTGGTGGTGCATGGGGTGAGGTGCGTGGAGCGTGGTGGATGGGGCGTGGTGCATGGGGCATGGTGCATTGTGCATTTCGCATGGTGATGGTATGACTTGTGAGTTGACGGGGACACTGGGTTTTAACCTCTAACCTATCCTCTCGCACCACTCCTCTCTCCCTCTCTCTCTTGCGCACACCACCCGTGGCCCACATGTCTCCTCGCTGCAGTGACGGGCAAGACCCTGGCGGAGAACCTGGCCTCCGTGCCGCCACTCTCCCCCGGTCAGGTACCTATTGCGCATCTCCCCTGCTCTCCCTCCCGCTCCCTCCCCATCCCTCCTTGCCCCCTTCCCCATTGCTCCCTTTCCAAGTTTCTTGTTTCTGATTCCCCTGCCCTCTTTCTTCGTCGCCCTCATTTGGTGCCGCATCGGCTGGTGATCAAAGAGAATGCGCCCTTCCTCTTCCCCTGTGTGCCACGTGGCAGGACGTCATTCGCCCATTGGAGGAGCCCATCAAGCAGACCGGCCACTTGCAGGTGAGCCAGCTGTCATGGCTGACTGCATTGAGTGCTGGCGGCATTGACAGCTGGCACTCTCGCCCCTTTCAATCATTACCATGCTATCCCATGCCATGCCCCTTCACCCCATCTCAGCTCGTCACCCGGTCTGCTCGCGCACTTATCCTATCTCCCTCGCCTCCTCCCTGTCCCCCGTCCCCTCCTCCCCTCCTTCCCCCCCGCGCAGATTCTGTACGGCAATCTGGCACCGGAGGGGTCGGTGGCAAAGATCACGGGCAAGGAGGGGCTGTACTTCAAAGGTGGGGTGATGGGGGAGAAGGGGGGTGAAGGTCAAGGAGCTTTACCTTCCCTGTCTCGCTGCCACTTGCACGGCACACTGGCTGCCATCCACACTACTCTGTCGCGCTGCGCGCAAGAAGCATGTCGCCATCCCAACCCCCCCCCCCTTCCGCCGCCCCCCTTTCCTCGTCCCCACCACCAGGCCCGGCGTTGGTGTTTGAGGGCGAGGAGGCCATGCTGGAGGCGCTCTCCGCCGACCCCAACAGCTTCAAGGTGCCGCCCCACCGCCCCGTACCGCACCCCATCCCTCCCCGCCATTCCACTTATTAGGCCAACCCATCCCAGCTCAACCAAACGCACTTGCCCCAGGGCAATCCAACTGGTGTTATCTGCTTCTTGCTGCCTCCGCCCTCCTCCCACCCCATTGCCTCACCATTCATGCAACCTGCCATGCCCACGTGAGGTCCTCCCCCCAACCTTCCCCACCCTCTGCTCTCCACCTTTTCTCTCCTCCTCCCTCTCCCCTCCCCTTCCTTCCCTCTCTCCCTCACACTCCTCCCCTCCCGTCTCTCCCTTGCCCCCCACACAGGGAGCGGTGGTGGTGATACGGGGAGAGGGCCCCAAGGGAGGGCCGGGCATGCCGGAGATGCTCACGCCCACCTCCGCCATCATGGGCGCGGGGCTCGGCAAGGTATTGTGGGGGGTGGAGGTGGGGGGGATGGGACGAGCATGGCACATGCATGTCTCTGGGCGTGTGAGTCTGCATGCATGGATACCTGTAGGAACGCCTCAAAACACAAAAACCACATTTCCTTTTGTGCCCACCCATTGCACTCGCACCCGTTCCTACTCTGCCCTCATGGCTCTCTGACCTGCTCTGCCTGTCCTTCTCTCCTCACACTGCTCTCCACCGCTTATCTCCCCCCCACACACACCAGGAGGTGGCGCTGCTGACGGACGGGCGCTTCTCCGGTGGCTCTCACGGCTTCGTGGTCGGCCACGTCTGCCCCGAGGCACAGGTACACATGGCACCTCCCCATTCGCTCTGAGGCACAGGTACACATGGCACCTCCCCATTCGCTCTGAGGCACAGGTACACGTGGCACCACATCTGCCCCGAGGGCACAGGTACACGTGCTGCCTCCCCAGCGTGCACCTGACTGTGTCCTGCCACATCACTTGCATACCACCCTTCCTCGTCTCTCGTCACCTTCTCCCCCATACCTCCCACCCTGCACTCCTGCCGACGCCCTCATTCCCCACACTCAATCTGTCCCTCCCCTCTCCCATGCAACAGGTGGGCGGCCCCATCGGGCTGGTGCAGAACAGGGACGTGATCACCATCGACGTGGAGAATAGGGCCATGGACATGGCGGTCAGTGAGGTTGGTCATTGGGGACTCTCAATATCCAACCGCTATCCCTCCCCTTTCCTCTGCGCGCAGGTGGGCGGCCCCATCGGGCTGGTGCAGAACGGGGATGTGATCACCATCGACGTGGAGAAGAGGACCATGGACATGGATGTCAGCGACGAGGAGCTGCAGCGCCGCCGTGCCAACTGGGTGGCGCCGCCTCTCAAGGCCACCCGCGGCACGCTGTACAAGGTGTGTGCGCCTGTGCAAAAGTCTCTATTAGTCAGTGCTTCGTGCGCAAATCAGTGCATGAGTCCTGCCGCATCATGTGCCATCTGCACTCATCCTCACATTCTTGTGCATCGCCCCTTTTGTGTGCGGTGCCAGCTCATATCCTTCCTTTACTCACGCACCGTGCTTTGTGCCTTGTGCTGCCACCCCGCCCCCCCTGGCCACGGCAGTACATCAAGACGGTCAAGTCAGCATCTGAAGGCTGTGTCACGGATGAGTAGATGCATGCATGCATCATGCGCATGCATGTGCACAAGCACCACTGTGGGCAACTTGACATAGTTTTGTTATGGAGTATGATGATGAGAAGCCGCTTGTTTTGTCCATCCGCATAGTGTAGTTCCGTGAAAAAAAGTGCACCGTGTCATATCTGCAGTTGATAGTTGAAAGTTGGTATGTTATCTTCTGTGCAAGCTCACCTATTCAGCTCTAGGCCAGAGTTGGTCTTACAGAATCCATCTTACGACAAAAAATTGGAAGGCAATTCCTCCAAGTTAAAGTAAAATCTCATGGTATGCTTGCACTAAGTCCTCTTCTCCAAGACAATGCATGGTTGAGAGTGCATTGATGCTAAATGGCAGCACTATAGGTGGTTGTGAGCGCTGTTGGGATGGGGGCACTACAAGGAAGCCATCTCAGCGCTACCACCACCAAGCACCCCGAGCACAAGGAGGTTGCGTTCTTGTTGGACCTTCCAGCATGGCACTTGGTCGTGGCAGGGTGATAGTTTGCCTACATAAGTGCATGCAATTGTCATCCTATATGGCACTCGTGTGGTGGACAACCAAAAACTCATATTAGAGCAACCAGACCACGTTATTTCTACATATTACCGTAGGAACGAAACCAACCACAGGTTACTTTGTAATAGGCAGATGTAATTTTCCTGTAAGCCACCTTCCTCGTTCTCGATTCCACAGCAGAGCAGGCAGTGCATCTCTTGAGTGGCGATGGCACATCACAGGAGGTCCATCAGAGCACCTCCAGATTGCGGGGGAGCAGCAGGGCGCTGAGGAGGCGTGAAGCCAGAGCCCATGGCAGCAGATGCAAGGGGGGCAGGGAAGCCCTGCGATGGCGGAGGGGCAAACCGCATCGCACCGTACACAGCGCCGCCAGCAGGAGGAGCAGCAGCCATGCCACCCATGGGAGCCATGGGAGCAGCAGGGAAAGCCCCAAACCCTGGAGCCATGCCAACGCCACCCATTGGCCGAGCCATTCCCATACCCATGCCTGCTCCCATGGCCCCACCCCCCATGCCTCCTCCCATGCCCATGCCCATGCCCATTCCCATGCCTGTGCCTCCCATCCCTGTGCCGGCAGCAGTGGCAGGCGGGACGGCAGACTGGAAGGAGCTGCCGCCCCAGTCGTCCATGTCAAGTGGCCCACTGGCCTTGGACACTCCGCCCAGGGGACGCGGGGCGGCACTCATTGCAGCTGTTGGTGCCGCTGGCGCTGCTGCTGCCTGCGGTTTTCTTGGAGGCCAGTCTGCAAAGGGGTCGTTGGGGTCACTTGCACCCCCTCCTGCTCCTGATGCTGCGCTCCCTCCCAACCCCCCACCCATGCCTCCTCCCAGTCCCCCACCAAACCCTGTGCCTCCTCCCAACCCCCCTCCTAGCGATCCTCCCATAGGCGCCCCCACTAACCCCCCTTCCAAGCCGCTACCAAGACCCCCCATACCCCCACCGCCTATGCTGCTGCTGCCACCAATTCCGCCTCCTCCTATTCCCCCCAACCCACCCCCGCCAATGCCCCCCATGCCGGCTGTGGGATTGGCAGAGAGGGAAGCAAGGCTGGGGGATGGTGCAGCGGAGAGAGTGGAGGACGCGAAGGGGTCTGACGTGCCAAAGGCAGACGAGGCGGAGGAAGCGGGGGTGGACGAGATGGGGGGCGCGGAGGCGAAGGGGTCTGAGAAGGAGGGGGCGGCAGAGGGGCCAGCGGAGGAGGAGGCGGGTGTCTTGGCCCAGTCTGGTTGTGCGTCCCATGCCGGCGGCTTGGCGCTGGTGGAGGGGGTGAGGGGGGAACGGGGTGGCGGGGGAGGGAGTGGGGGGAGGATCAGATGAGGGAGTGGAGAACGGGGGGGAGATGGGATGGGTTAGAGAGAAAGGGGGCTAAACGAGGAAAGTGGCTGCAAGGAGATGAGAGGCCAGCTTTGGGGGACGTTTACAGGGAGGCAGGGGGCTGACCTGTCGTCAAAGGCAACAGTGGCATCGGAGGGAGTGGAGATGCCCATGGATGCGAGGTCGAGCGATATGGAGTCCGCCTCACTCAACGACACGCCCCTCTTGTCCTGTATCTTGCTGCCACACACCGGCAGCAGGGGCAGGGGCACGGGATATGGGGCATGGCACAGATGTCATGTTGCGCACGGGATACTTGATCGAAATAATTACGGAAGTCGATAGGCAACAGGTCACTAAGTGAACGGGAACCTAGTAAGTTGTAAGAAAGTAAACCAAGTAGCAGGGAAGTGCATGTGCAGCATAATGTGAATGCAAAGAGAGTGTGAGAAAGAGCGGGGAGGGTGGGAGTGAGTGTGTCTGTGCGAGAGAGAGAGAGAGTGGGAGACGGGTGGGGGGCGGCGCACGTGAGGACGTCCATGATGAGTTTGAGGAAGCGGGCGAACTGCGGGCCTGTGAGCTGCTGCACCACGAGCATGGGACACAGCAGCGGCAGTATGTGCTCTGCTGCAAACTCTATTCCGTACTGCCATGCCATGCCATTCCATGCCACACACCCATGCCATGCCACACACCATGTCGCACCACACCATAACACACCACAGCACATCATGCGAGATGAGGAATAGGGAATGCTGTTAGAAGTGTGTCACATAGTGGGTTGCAAGGGAAAATCGTGACATATGGAACAACAGAGACAGTGGAGCAAGCACACAAAACAGGCATAGGACAGTCAGCCACAACAAGGACCTGCCTCAGCACGCATCTGCATCAGCACCCACCTGGCTGAGAACGCACCTGGCTGAGAACGCACCTGGCTGAGAACGCACCTGGCTGAGAACGCACCTGGCTGAGAACGCACCTGGCTGAGAACGCACCTGCCTCAGCGCGCACCTGCCTCTGGATGATGTCAGCAATGCCGACGATGCACATGAGCGTGGGCGGGGAGCGGTCGACAGCAGCGCAGCGCACGCACGTCTGCAGAATGTCCATCACGGCCGCCTTGTCCAGGTTGGGTATCAGGTCGCCCAGACATATGAGCGCCTGCACCCTCACCTGGTGGCGTGGCGCGGTCACAGAGGCGAGAGGGGGAGAGACGAGGAGAAGGGGGAGTGCACAGTTAGATGGATAGGAGGGAAGGAAAACAAATTGTGAGAGATGAAGGGACGAGCGGCAGAGAGGTGGTGGGGGCAGAGAGATGGACGGAAGAGAAGGCAGGGTTAGTGGCGACGTACAGCGGCGACGGAGGTGCGGAGGGCGAGCATGTGCACGCGCGGCATGATGACGGTGCGCACGATCTCAAAGTCCAGCGACGACACCAGCACTGCTGAGCGCCGCAGCGTCTCCTCCTGCAGCCGCGGGTCGGCGTCCTCGTAGGCGCGCACGATCATGGGCAGCACATGTGACATCAGGATGGCTGGTGACACCTGTGTTGAATACAGACACACGCAAAGCGCACACAGAAACATCCACCCCAGGTGGGGGAGACACAGGGGAAAATCAGAACGAGCAGAGAAAATAATAAACTAGAGAATGGTGAGTGAGTGGGATGAGCAGTATCAGTGACGGTGAGAGCCCTGGAGGGGCCACCACCTTGGGGGAACTGTAGCCCACCTTGGAGACGATAGCAGGGAGGTGCTTGATGAAGAGCAGCAGCACGTCGCCACCCGCATGCTCCATGGCGGGCAGCAGCAGCGTCTGAGTGCGCAGCTCAAAGTCCTGTGCGTCCTGTGCCTCCGCCACCTCCAGCACCCACGGCAGCGCCAGCAGCTGCGTGGCGGGGTTCTTCAGCTCCTCTAGCAGGGCCGGCAGCACCTTGAAGCGCAGCACTCGGCTGTCAAACCCCGCCCATATGCTGTGCAGCGACTTCAGGAACTCCACCCTCGCGTTGTTGTCCCGACCCTGTGGGCATGAGGGTAGGGTGCACGATGGGAGGTGGGTGAGGACCGAGGGGATGGTGGTAGGGTGGGTAGTGGGTTGGAATACGAGGGTAGGGGGAGAGGAGGGTAACGAGAGAGGAGGGCTCTGGTAAGTATGAGAGAGGACACATAGAGCTCAGGGAAAAAACAAATGGGCAGCAACCAAGGAAGGGTAACAAGAGACAAGAGGGGCGAATCGTACAATCATTTGGTCGAGGAATCTGAGGGCTCGCAGGCGCATGTCCTCCGTGAAGAAAGGTGACGCTGCAGAGCAGGGTGCATGCATGGGAGGAGAGGGGGCAGTGGTGGGTTGGATGGAGGGGAGGAAAACAGGCATCCGCCGCCCAGGGCAATGGAAGAATCAATGCCCGTTGAGGAGGAAGAGAATGACAGGAGCAGGTAACAGCCATGGCTTCGGGGAAGGGTGAGGAAATGGGGGAAGGCTGACTGACCGGCGAACTCAGAGGCGGTGGGGCGGGCGGCGGGTTCAGGGGCGAGCATGCGGCGCAGGTCCGTCTCGAGCTCCATGGGTATGCCCGCCAGTGACTCGGTCCTCAGCCCCGCCACCCTGTTGTTGTACTGTCGTGCATATGGGTCGGACATACAAGGGTGAGTGGGAGTGCAGGGAAGGAGACGAGATGGGCAACGAGACAGCCACCATTGTTTAAGCCCTCATCCCAACAGCACGTTAATCTAAGAAGGACACATACGACTGGCTGACTGCTGTACCCACGGCTGCTGCAGTGCAGCACTCACGGTGCGCAGGTTGTTGTTGGCGTGCACGAGGCGGCGCCGCGCAATGAGCTGGAAGGCGAGCAGCGCGAGGGAGAAGACGTCGACACTGGCCAGCGCGTCCCGGGAGGCGGCAGCGGAGGAGCGGTTGATGGTGGGGCGCCGTGTGAGCTCCGGTGCCACGTAGTCCAGCAGGGGCTGCAAGGGCAGCACCTGGTCGTCCACGTCAAAGTCCTGGTCGATGGTGGGGGAAGGGGAGGTGAATGGGAAGGGGATCATGGAGAAGGGGATTGATGGGTGGGACATCACGGAGGGAGGGATGTGGTGGGAGGATGATGACAGGTAAGGATGATGGGTGCGAGCATGACGTGTGCAGCATGATGTGTGCATGGATGATGTGTGCAGTGCAAGCACGGCGGGTGCGTGCATGGTGCATGCGAGCACTGACAGGGTAGAGGAAGGCGGGTTCATCGGGGTCGGGCTGTTGGTCAGCGGGCACGGAGAAGCCAAACCCAGCCAGCTTCCACCCGCCATTCTTCGTGATGAACACTGACTGCGCACCACAGTGCGTGCAGGGAGGGGGGGAGAGGGAGGGTAGGGTAGGAGTGCGCCGCATGCAGCATTAGGACCACAACAAGAACACCAGGGTCTCATGCGCAGGGAGATTCACCGTGGGTCTCATGAGAATAACGAGGCGAAGCATCAAGTCTGAGATGCTCTTCCTGACGTTTCTAAGATCGACTGTGCAGACGCACGTGCAACGTTGAGCCCCAGGAGACGCACAGGATGGCTTGGCACCCACAAGTTGCACACGATGGCTGGGGTGGTACCTCGGGGTTGATGCCGCGGTGGATGATGTTGGCGTTGCGGTGGATGAAGCTCAGCGTCTCCGCCAGCTGCATCAGCCCGTGCTTCACCTCCAGCTGCCCCAGCTCCAGCTTCTCCAGCTCATTCGGGATGGTGGAGAGGTTCTCGAGGTTGCCGAGGGCGTTGGCGAGGGAGGAGAAGACGGGCTCCGTGACCATCGCCATGGCCCACTTGCTCTCGTCCAGCGCCTCCACCACGCGCACGATGCCCGGGTGCCGCAGCTTCTGCAGCACCTTCGCGTCCGCGCGGAATATGTCCAGCAGTCGGTCCTCCGCCGCCTTGCTGCGCGCGGGAGCGGGGGAACAGCGCGAAGTGCGCGAGGCGCGGGGAGAAAGGGCCAAGGAGCGCAGATACGGGAAAGGGGTTGCTGGGAATGCGTGTCCGACACAGGACCGAGCAACGGAAAGCAGAACGTGCTTTTACGATCGCTGACGAATCTACCCTGCTCTGCTGCTCCTGTTCCCCCTCCCCACCCTCCGACGGACCTCATGCCGCGGTGCGAGCGCTCCTCCGAGAGCTCCTTCTTGTCGAGGAACCACACGCACACCTCCGACGTCACCGTCTGCTGTGCCTTGCTCTTGGGCGTCGCGCGGTACAGCTTCCACAGCATGCCCGGCCCGCCCGACCCGATCTGCGCATTCACCACGGCGGAAACATGCACGGCATTGCCAAGCGGATTCGTCACGCCAACTCGTGTACCTCCAGTTGAGCATCGCTTATTCTAGGCACTAAAAAGAAACGGTGTTTTTCATCCAACATGCGGTGTTTCTTCGATTACAGGTGAGGAACGGCTGGAATTGAATGAAGGCTCAAGACGGATCAAGGGCGGAGAACGCACCTGCTCGCCGAGGTCATAGTCGGCCAACGCCTTGGGCCCTGTGACCTCCTGAACCGTGCTCTGGCACGCACAGGCAACAGCGAAACGCAGGTGGACACTCAGACATTGATACCGCAGCAGCTAACCCTAATTGCATCGATGCTGACGTCAGAAATATGGCCAGACCCGAAATATGAAGCAGAGAAGGTTATACCGCAGGGGACGGAAGGCCCAACACACCTGGACGGTTTTCTCTATCGAAGCGGCGGTGCTCGCTAGGATCTTAGAGAACCCCGACAACATCTTGACGTTCAAATTCCGATCTTTCGTAAACTGTATGATCTAGCTAGAAAACGATATTCCTACTTAGCACAAGTTCCTGTCCATTGAGCCCTTGACTTCAGGAATCGCGTGACAATGCTGCTGGCCAACTCCAGTAGTGCACAGAGCACCTACCCACTAGTCCCATGAAAAGCACCACGGAAATGGCACGTACTGGCTTGGCAGTCTGAAAGCTACCCATTCCCGCCAAAAGCAGTGACGAGTACCCGATACTAATCTGCTGTGAAAGTTTTTTAGGCATGTGCAATTTAAGATACGCAGAAAAACCAGCACTCAAACCCAGAAACAAACTGCTTTTGTTTATACTAAAGATTCAGAGACTTTAGCAGAACCCGAAGCTGTTCGTTTGTGGCACTTTACGTTCGGGCCTGACCAAGCCCGCGAAGCTCGCTTCCTCGAGTTCCTTGTAGTTTGCAACACAAAGCCACGTGGACGACTATTTGTTGGTGCAGAAATTGTTGGAAGAGGGGTGATTGGTTTTACCGGGTTGCAGAGACAATAAGTATAACAGGTTGACCTCAATCTTGTGTGAATGGCAGCCCAATGTCATTGGCCAGCCCTTCTGACAAGTGGGGACAACAAAGATCTGCGACCTTCTACAACCACTGCCAGTAACAGAGGCGAAGGGATTCTCGCGTATTTCGTTACAAAATTGCGATGCACCGAGGGCCATTGGATCATATGTTACAGTAGGTTCTTCTCAAGCTCTTCGTCAAAACCTCCCCCCGCCCCGCAAAAGCGCCGCTTGTCAGATTTTCTAACCAAATCAGCTCATCCCGCCAGACCCCTCAGCATCCTCACAGTCCCACAACGTCTAACATTCCCCCAAGCCTCTGCAATAGATGCTACACCAAACCGCTCTTGCCTGGGCTAGGAGGTTCGTTTCTGTCTGCGAATCTACGCCAACCAGTTGTTTTGCCACGCGAGGGTGCGAACCTTTTTTTCCCGCGAGTGAAATCGAACAAGCAGGGTAATAATCTGAATGTTAGGTTGGTTCGGAAGAGTTTCCAAACCTTTCGCCGCTCGCGGTTAGCCATCCATTTGGTTGGGAAGCTGGAGCGGTTGGGCGAACCTAGGTAAGCCTTGGTGGAGTCTCTCCAGTACCATGCGAGGCCTTTCCCAACTCGTTCTCACGCATTTTCGAGGGCCACCTCGTTTCCGAATTCCAACCTCATTTGCCTCATCTCAGCAGAATTCACCAGCCTTGTCGCCTCGCAACTCGACATTTTCAGCCTTTTCAGCTCCAAATGCAAATAGCTACTAGTTCCGTCAGAACCGATGGCCTCTCCTGATTTCTGTCCCAGCTTGATTCAGGACGCGAGTGTTCCCGCAGTTAATTTAGGAAGCGAAGGAGTGTCTCGTTCGGCAGCCGGAGAATGGAATTAAGCTGATGCAGAGCATGGTAATTTGTAGCGACGACTCCGAGCTTCAAAATTGAGCTTTCCGAGCTTCCGAAGGGTTGAGCTGTTGTGCGTAAGGCGGAAATGAGAAGCGCGGTACGATTTCGTGTAAGTTGCGGTATCACGGAGCATCGTTCAACATCGAAGGCAGGCCGAAAACAAACGATCATGGAAAGGCGGCCATGGGTGATGGAATATACTAACACGCATGGTGAGTTTTTCACACGCATCCGTACAATTATTCTCTCACATGAACTGTCAGCTTTTATTTCAGCGTCGGAACTTCACTCACATATACGTCTTTCTGTGACTCCCCTTGCGGTGCAGGCTACCTCTACAATGCCACGTTGCGTGTGCACGCCTGGCAGCACCAACTCCGCTTGCGCCTGGACGGCCTTGCTGCAGTCGCTGACGAAATTGCTGCATCCTCGGACGAAATTGTTGCATTCGCGGACGGAATTGCTGCATTCGCGGACGAAATTGTTGCATTCGCGGACGGAATTGCTGCATTCGCGGACGAAATTGTTGCATTCGCGGACGGAATTGCTGCATTCGCGGACGAAATTGCTGCTGTGGCTGTGGCTGCATCCAGAAGTTTTTAGCTGCATCCAGAAAAGGCGGTAACGGGGCTTCAGCTTTCCAGCTAAGTGTTTCCTCCTCCTTGGCCGATACCTTTTGTTTTCAAAAGCTCATCATTCAGCTTCATGTGTTAGTCTCCGAAATTCGCCACTGGTTGGGTGTGATTAAATGCCACAGACCCCCTTCTTTCAGGTATTTCCCTCCAGGTGCAGGTACCCCTCAGGTATTATTTGTAGAGCCCCTGCAGGTTCCCTTGGGGTCTGTGGCGTGTGGTCGTGCCTCCTCAAGTGGCGCCTCCCTCATTCTTCCAGACGTAGCAGTTTCCAGTGTGTGGCTTGTGCTACTGTCCATTTCAAGCAACCTGACCTCTGCCGTGTGTGTGCCTGGCAGGTGGAGGGGAGGGGCGCGGGGGTCAACACCGACGCTACTCCACGCTCCTCTCCGGTGGCCGTGCAGGGACGCGCACGGGGAGGCTGGGAGGAGGAAGGCATCAGCTCTGCATTATTCCAGCTAAGTGCTCTCTCCTCCCTGGCCTTGCCTTTTGCTGCTGATTGCTTCGTTTTGTGTCCTTGTTCTGCACGTGCTTCAGTTTGTTCTCTGAAATCTCGCCACTGGTTGGGCCCGCTCTCAAGCTTTAGACCCCTCCCCCACAGTCCAGGTTTGCCCTCAGGTTCCCCTTTTCTAGGTTCTTACAGCCCCCCAGGTTCAGCCTCTCAGGTGCCCCTGGGGGTCTACGGCTTGTTGCGGCGCCTCCACCAGTGGCCCCTCCCCTCACTTATCTTGTGGAATGTGCTGTCTCTGCTGCAACACCACCGTTCATCCCCTCACTCTCCACTCACCAGCTCTGCTTGTGCCTTTGCAGGTGGAGGGGAGGGGCGTGGGGGTCAACACCGACGCTACCTCGCGTCCCTCCCCGGTGGCCGTGCTGGGACGCACACGGGGAGGCTGGGAGGGCGACAGCACTGCAGCTGCCACGAGGGAGAGTATGGGTTGGGCTTGGTCTCTCAAGGTGCGTTAGTTTCCTCCCTGGCCTCAACTTTCCCCACCCAAGTTCATTGGTGATGTTGCTCTCTCTGCACGTTTTGCATGCTTGTATCTGTCAGGTTCAGTTATTTCTTCCTCTGTATCTTTCTGCCAGCTCACCACTCCTCCCCTCCTGTCCCTCCTCTCCTGTTCTCTCCTCCCTCCTCTCTCCCAGCCACCAGGTGAACTATCATCAAGAGATGCGTGCAGAGGTAGCTGAGAAGCAGGCCGGCTGCAGCAGTTGCAGCAGCAGAAGCAGCGGTGGAGGCTGGGAGGGCGACAGTACAGCAGCTGCCACGAGGGAGAGTATGGGGATGGGCTTGGCCTCTCAAGGTACGTTAGCTTCCTCCCTGGCCTCGTCCCTCCCCCTCTCAAGTTCGTCGTTCCTGTTGCTCTCTCTTCACGTTTTGCATGCTCGTCTCTGTCTTATTCAGTTTCGCCTTCAGTGCCTTTCTGACAACTCACCACTTTCTTCTGCCCCCCCTCGTCTGTGCCCCCCCTCTCCTCTCTCTCCCCAGCACCAGTGTCAAGGGAAGGATACAGCAGAGGTAGCTGAAAAGCAGACTGGCAGCACCATTTGCAGCAGCAGCGGTCCCAGCGGTCACAGAGGGTGGGGGCTGGGAGGGCGACAGCAGCTGCCATGAGGGAGAGTATGGGGATGGGCTTGGCCACTCAAGGTACGCTAGCTTTCTCCCTGGCCTCATCTCTTTCCCCCTCAAGTTCATTGCTGCTGCATCTGTCTTAACATTTTGCATGTGCTATTCAGTTTCACTTCCGTGTCTGTCTTGAAACTCACTTCTCCTCCTGCCCCTCCTCTCCTGTGCCCCCCTCCCCTCTCACTCTCCCCGCTACCAGGTCACTCAGCATCAAGCGAAGAGTGCAGCAGATGTAGCTGTGAAGCAGACCGGCAGCAGCAGTTGCAGCTGCAGAAGCAGCGGTGGGGGGTGGAGGGTTAGAGGGGCAACCCAGGATAGGAGTAGTCGTGAGCGAGGTGTGGTAAGGTGAGGTACGGTACAGGTAAGGTATGGTATGGTAAAAAGTAAGGTACGTTTTCATCCCCTCCTTTTCTCTCCCTCTTCCCTTCCCTTCCAGCAGCACACTTCCTGGACCACAGTGGAGACCGGCCCCCCCTTTAATCCCCCCTCCTCACTTCCCAGCAGCCTGAGGTGGAAGCACTGGAGCAAGGTCAGGAGAGTGAAGAACAGCCTCCTACTCACCTCCTCCTGTCTCCCTTTTCCCTTCCCTCCCAGCAGCACCCTTCCTGGAGCACAGTGGAGTGGAGACCCGCCCCCCTTTTAACCGCCCCCTTCCCACTACCCATCAACCCCAGACATCATGGCGCTCTGCACTGCACGGCTGTGGTTGGTACGGGTACGTAGGCATGGGGGTGAAGTGTGGGGGAAGCATGGGAGCAAGTGGGGAGTTCACTGCCTTAGGGGCAGCGTCCTC